CTCATCTTCGTTTCAATAACATGTGTTTATGTCTATCTGCAGCTGATCCTCTTGAAAGGATACAGTTTCCAACAAGGTTTATACTTTGAAGTAAAATAGTTTATTCTTTTCTGAATCTTTGAGCAGCTAGAGGTTAAGTGGGTGAGGGGTATTTTTCTAAGTGCATTTTCCAGAAAAAGGTCAGTGTTGCTCAGTATGGTATTTGTTCATTACCTTCTAAGAGGATGGGCAGTATTTGATAAGTGGAGAATAGATGTCTGTAGTTCAGTTTATATAATTTTATCTGTTAGACAGTTAGACTATTGCAGCATTTTTCATCCATCATAAACAGTAAAAAATGATAAACTCCTTTTTGACAGACCATAAGAAATCTTATACCATCCCAGAGGCATTAATGACCCTTCCACGCCAGGATGCTTCTTTCTCTGCCCTCAGCCCCCATGTTGTCTTTAACAGGTCCTCACTGGCCAAGAAGATGTCCAATTTTACAGAATATAAATAGCCTAAATAATTAGCTGTGTTTTTCTTTTTCACTTGATCAATATAAAATCATAATATGGAGTACACATTTTCAAACTGCACATTTATCTTCACCTTCAGTTTCCATAAACCATTCTAAGGGACATACGAACTCCATTCCCTGCTTAGGAATCACTGCTTTGTTGAAAGGTATGGAGAGAATAAGATGGTAAAATATAGAGTAGAATTAAAACAGAATTCTTTATCATAGGACAGACAAGTTGTTATAGAAATGGGCAAGGGTGACAAAAAATGTAAAATAACGATAAGAGAGTTGGGACTGGATCTTCAAAAAAACCCAAGAACCATATTAAAGGTGGTAAAACTGCAGAAGAACATCAGTTTCTATTTACTTTGAGGGAAAGTAGTAGTTTCTCCTTTAAGAAGGAAATTAAGGATGATATTGGCGTATATAATAGAGTATTTTTGTACAGGGAACCGGCTTGTTATTTGGAAATTATTGGTAAGTAGCCTTGGATTTGAACCTTAACTGACTAGTTTATTCCTTTTCTCTTCACCTCCCCTGCCCCCCAAGATTTCTTTTGTGAATGTAGTCATTAGTTTGGAATTGTGGCACATACACGTGTTTCTCTTGGACAATGGTAGGCCAAGACTGGCTATTCATTCTATTATGATAAAAAAGAGCATAACTTCTTTATCTCTGCAGTTGCTTTACCTTGAACCCCCCTGCTTAACATCTATTTATTTTTGCTACTAGGGTTTGAATCATGGAAAGAGAATTCATGAGTTGGATGAGCTTGGTAGAACAGGCCATATGTAAATATAGCCAGGGTAACCCACAAGTAATAATAGAAGGAGGGGTGAGGAAAGTTGAACATATTTTGGGGGAAGGTTTAATCTTGTGAGTGTCGAGGACAATTTAAAGATGGGAGCTAGAAAAGAAGTAGGAGACTAGGATAAAAAATATGTATAAGATGAGCTGGGTCAGTAGAGGTGAATTGATACCATGTGACTAAGAAGTAATGATAATTGGTGATGTAGCATTTAATCAGTGGCAAAGCTTTTGAATTACTAGGCCTAAACTGAACTAGGAGAAGCAGAAGTTTAGTCAAAAAATAGGGAAGGGAGAGATAAATGGTAATGTATTGATCTATAAAAGCTTATACTTGAGTCATATGGTGGTAAGGAAATATTTCAGAAACTGTTAGCCTTATTTCTCCCATAAAAAATTATATCTATGCCTAAGATTGGGATATTGCAAAGGGAAGGAAAAGCATTAGGATGAATAAATAGCAAGGAATCATAGAAGGGACAAATTACTCCATGGAAGAAAGGGTATAAATTTTTATAAGCATAAACTTCTAGTTAGTGGAAACTTTCACTGCAATTTTTGTATGATACCTAGATGTGAATATTTAGTATAACTTCTGACAGTGAATAGGAGATCAAACATAATTGGTGGGAAAGTAGGGCATAACTAGGAAAAAAGATGATATTAGAGAAGAAATGTATAAAGTTATTGGGTAGGTTTTCATTAAATCAAGAAATGTAACTTCTGATTGCTATTTTGAGTAATTTGGGGGTAAGCAATAGATGTGAGAGGCTGGAATGAGCTGATGGAATAGGTTAGTCAGGAATAGGAAGTAATATGGATCTTGGGTTGAGATGTGAAAAGTATATAGTTACTGAAGCAAGGAAGATCTTATTTAACATTGGTGGAGATACCTTGTATACTTTTTGTTTTTTTTTTTTTTGAGACAGAGTCTCGCTTTGTTGCCCAGGCTAGAGTGAGTGCTGTGGCGTCAGCCTAGCTCACAGCAACCTCAAACTCCTGGGCTCAAGTGATCCTCCTGCCTCAGCCTCCCAAGTAGCTGGGACTACAGGCATGCACCACCATGCCCAGCTAATTTTTTGTATATATATTAGTTGGCCAATTAATTTCTTTCTATTTATAGTAGAGACGGGGTCTTGCTCTTGCTCAGGCTAGTTTCGAACTCCTGACCTCGAGCAATCCACCCGCCTCGGCCTCCCAGAGAGCTAGGATTACAGGCGTGAGCCACCGCGCCCGGCCCTTTGTAATTTTGACTGATGTGCCAACTACTGACAAGTCTATGCTCTTTGTCTATATTGGAATTTCTGGGCTATTAACCCACATTATATTGTTTTATAAGGATAACTGAGATGGGTTGAGGAAGGAAAAAGAAATAGCTTGGAGATTATATGGAAAAGTCTATTCAGTCAAGTTTTCGACTGTACTGCTGGTGTCTTCCAAAAGTTAGGAGAAATGGTCTTATCAAACAAGGCTTTCCTGGATGGTTGAACATTGACATCATACACAAAGAATAGATATTTATTTTTCTTATATTTGAGTTATGTGGTGATATAATTCCCTGTCTATGGCATTTTGTAAACATACTTTCAGCCATTTGTAGACCTGTAGGTAGGAAGTTTTCTATCAACTTATCTTAGAATCAAGGAATATCCTTTAGTTTCAGTGAGGACTGAAGATTTACATCAGAAAATGCAAGCAAGTATATTAATTCATTAACTTTATTTTTGGTAGCTACTATGTGTGTTATGACCTCCTGGTTCTTTAGGGCTCCCCAGATAAATAAGACATAGATTCCACCATCTAGGAACTTTGTTTCCCAGGGAAAAAGGAACTGGGCCATGGTGCAGGGTTGTAAACGCAGGGTATACATTGCATACATTCATAATCACCAATTTTAGATAGTTAGTATTACAGTTTTCCAGCAGATGGCAGACAAGCACCTTGAGAAATAGGCAACTTTTTATAATTTGCACTAAGGAACTATTTGGGCCTTCAGAAGATATGGACAGGCCGGCACAGTGGCTCACGCCTGTAATCCTAGCACTCTGGGAGGCTGAGGTGGGCGGATTGTTTGAGCTCAGGAGTTTGAGACCAGCTTGAGCAAGAGCGAAATCCTGTCTCAACCAAAAATAGAAAAAATTAGCCGGGCATGGTGGCACAAGCCTGTAGTCCCAACTACTCAGGAGGCTGAGGCAGAAGGATGGCTTGAGCCAGGAGTTTGAGGTTGCTGTGAGCTAGCCTGACGCCATGGCACTGTAGCCCGGGCAACAGAGTGAGACTCGCAAAAAAGAAGAAGAAGAAGATACGGACAAGAAGCTCAAGTCATTTTAGTAAAATATTAAATATTGGCCAAGTACAGTGGCTCATACCTATAATCCTAGCACTTTGGGAGGCTGAGGTGGGAGGATCGCTTGAGGCCAGGAGCTTGACACCAGCCTGAGCAACATATCGAGACCCGGTCTCTACAAATAATAGAAAAATTAGCCAGGCAGGATGTCACACACCTGTGGTCACAGCTACTTGGAAGGCAAGGGCAGGAAGATGGCTTGAGCCCAGCAGTTTGAAGTCGCAGTGAGCTATGATGATGCCACTGCACTCTAGCCCATGCAGAAGAGCAAGACCTTGTGTGTGTGTGTGTGTGTGTGTGTGTGTGTCTCTCTCTCTCTGTCTCTCTCACATATACACAATAAATAAATACAAGTGCTTTAAATAAGGTTTAAACAATGGTATATTTAAAGGAGGTAGAGGGATCAAGCCATCAAATTGCTCAATTGTTAAAGGAGCAGAGGTTTAGGGCTCATATTAGAGTAGAAAACCTTTGAAGGTCAGTAGGATTTCAGCTGGGAGAGATGTTTGGGAGTGGGGCGGGTATTCTAGGCAGAAGTTAAAACATAAAAGGCAAAGTCACACAGGTGGGAATCACATTAAGGTAACTGTGTAGTCTAGGTGGACTTGGAATGTAGGATATATGTATCTGAGATGATAAGAGAGAAAGCTGGGAATGTAAATTGGAACCCAAGTGTTGAATCCCTTGCAAAGGAAGTTTTTGATCTTAAATATGAGAAAGGTTTCTTGAAAGGGGACTTCAGAACAAAATGGTATGTGTAGATGAATTGATATGTTAGCTAGAACAGAGTTTAGAACTTCCTGGGTAAAACTATAAACTTGGTGAGATTGTACTATGAACTTGATTAAAGGTGGTTATTTTTGACAGTAGTAAGTAAAAGTATATAAAATATAAGGGAAATGAATGTGTAAGATAGAGTATATCCAGAAACTTTTATCTATATTCACTGAAATGCTTGTGGTATATTTTTGAGTTCTGCCAACTTAAGAACTGAAAACAGAAGGCAAATGACTATTAAATTTCCTGATCTCTACCTTAAAATGATAATTGTTAAAAGAGATGGACAGAGACAGCTGTATGCTCTTGACAGAAGCTTCTAAGTATGTAGGTGTAAGAGCCCAAAAGGGGGTTGGCTTATTTTTTTTCTTGTTTAGTTTTAGTTTTGAAGCAGAAATGTGGGTATTCTTTCTGCTATGTCTGTCCTCAGATTTCCTTACATTTCCTTCTTCTCTTACTGCTTTGATGTTATTTGATATTAAGGGTGGTACCTAAGAAGGAGAAATTTTCTCTGAGATTACCATCTTCGCTTATTTTTCATTTGTATTTGTATTCCCACAACAGGAGTTTCACCATCTTCCTCTGAAGACCTAGCCATCTTGTTCCATGAAGGTCAGGACAATCTGACATGCACTTGTTTCTTGCTTCTTCACTTGAAGAGTAGTCCTCTTCCATTGTGTACATTTTTTTCTTAATAGGGGAGGGGAGGGGAGAGCCAGTACCCCCCCTCCCCTTCCCTACTTAGACCTTGGGGAAATACTCTCCATTGCTTTCCCAAGATGGCAGACCCCATCATGGACCTGTTTGATGACCCAAATTTATTTGGCCTGGACTCTCTGACTGATGACAGCTTTAACCAGGTCACTCAAGACCCTATTGAGGAAGCCCTTGGACTGCCAAGCTCTCTGGACTCCTTGGATCAGATGAACCAGGATGGTGGAGGTGGTGATATGGGAAATTCATCAGCAAGTGACCTGGTCCCCCCATCAGAGGAAACAGCTCCCACAGAACTTCCCAAAGAATCCACAGCTCCAGCTCCAGAATCCTTAACCTTGCATGATTATACCACTCAGCCCGCCAGCCAGGAGCAGCCAGCCCAACCTGTATTACAGACACCGACGCCAACACCGGCACTTTTGCAGGTCTCCAAGAGCCAGGAGATCCTGAGCCAAGGGAATCCTTTCATGGGTGTCTCTGCCACAGCTCTCTCCTCCAGTAGTGCTGGAGGGCAGCCACCTCAGTCAGCCCCTAAGATTGTTATCCTTAAGGCCCCACCAAGCTCCTCAGTCACTGGTGCTCATGTGGCACAAATTCAGGCCCAAGGTATCACCAGCACAGCTCAGCCCCTGGTGGCTGGCACAGCCAATGGTGGAAAAGTCACTTTTACCAAAGTGCTAACGGGCACACCCCTTCGACCAGGTGTTTCCATTGTCTCTGGTAATACAGTGTTGGCCGCCAAGGTCCCTGGGAACCAGGCTGCTGTTCAGCGCATTGTCCAGCCCAGCCGACCAGTAAAGCAGCTGGTCCTTCAACCAGTTAAGGGTTCAGCTCCTGCTGGAAACCCTGGGGCCACAGGGCCCCCACTGAAGCCTGCAGTTACACTGACCTCTACACCTGCCCAGGTGACTTGAGTGAAAGGGGGAGGTAAATTTTGGTTTCATAGAGGGCCCAGCAACTGTGTGAGAGAAAGCACATCTGAGAGCTATCTCTGGGACAACCTGTTTAAATTCCATCTTTGCTTTTTATCAGTCAGTGTTGACAGCCACACACTTATTACTTCTTAGGTGGAAGCAGTTAACAATATTGTATCATATTTTTTGAGCTCTTACTACATGTTTACACTGTGCCTAGCTGGTGCTGAATAAGACAGACATAGTCCCTGTCCTTACAGAGCTCACAGTCTGCTGGGAAAGATAGATATTAAGCAAGAATTCACAATAATTTATGATATAATGCTTTATGAGAAATATAGGATACTTTGGGAATAAAGAGTCATCTTTGAAAAATTATATTTATATTTGCAAGACTTGTAAAAACTATTTATATCTTACTCTTATTACTAAGATTGTCCCCCTCCTACTTTGCCCAGTCAAAAGGCTAGTTTCTATTGTAAGAAAGTGGAGGCTCTAGCCTCAGAATAAAAGGCCTCTGAAAAAAGAGTTGTGGGTAGGGGTGGGCAGTTTTAAGTAGGTCCAGTGGGAAGAAGCTACAAGGAGACAAATTTCAGTTCAATATAAGGACTTTGGTTGTAATAGATTTCCAAAAAATGAATTGACTGCCTTAGAAGATAGCCTCTCATCAGGAGTTTTTCAATAGTAGGCTTGCACAGAGGTGTTATAGAAAAGATTCTATCAGGACAGATAGGAGGATGAACAAAGTGAATTGTACTGTGTCTTCAGACCCTCAATTTTTATGATTCTAGGATGAAGAAAACTGGTGTAAATATTTCAGAGTATACCATTCTTTAATGTACCTCTCTTGCAATTTCCTTTCTTCACTTTAGGGTGAATCGAAACGCATCACCCTGGTCCTCCAGCAGCCACAGTCTGGAGGTCCCCAAGGACATCGGCATGTTGTGCTAGGGAGTCTACCAGGCAAGATAGTGTTACAGGGCAACCAGCTGGCAGCCCTCACTCAAGCCAAGAATGCCCAGGGGCAGCCTGCCAAAGTAGTAACTATCCAGCTGCAGGTGCAGCAGCCACAGCAAAAAATCCAGATTGTACCACAGCCTCCTTCTTCACAGCCACAGCCCCAGCAGCCACCCTCAACCCAGCCAGTGACTCTCTCCTCTGTGCAGCAGGCTCAGATAATGGGACCAGGACAGAGCCCAGGACAAAGACTTTCTGTACCAGTCAAGGTGGTGCTGCAGCCACAGGTGAGATACTTTACATAGTAAGGAAAAGAAAGAAAACAAACCTCTTAGTCCATTGCTATTGCTTTCAGCAACCACTTGCTGTTGAATATGGGGCCATTCTAGATTTATACCTCTGAGTTGGGATGTAGCCTTTTATTTCTTTCACCCATAGAAACCTTGTTTTAATTTTATCATGAAAAGATTAGAGAGTTATTATTGGGTTTGGGATAAGAGATGATTTATCTAGTATTTGTCTTTGAACTGTTTCATTTACAATCTTTTCCTAATATTATTGTAAAATAAAAATGATTTGACTAAGTCTCTCATTTGAAGGATAAAGAAATAATCAAGTGATTATCACTCCTCCCACTCTTCCTCACCCCCACCCCCAGGCAGATAAAGGTAGGCCAAGAATAGGATTTCAATTTTGTTTTAGTTAGGCCAGAGACCAATATTGGATATATTGGTTGTAATTTTTCTTTATAATGGAGGTGAGTATTGATATGAGAGCATGGCAAAAGGATACTGAAGTTTAATTTGGCAGAATTTTTGCCTTAACCCTTTTCCACCAAAAAATAACATTTTAAAAACTGTGTAGCTTCAGTAAGACTTATCTGAGCCTGGTTCTGGAATTAGAGATCTAGTTTCTAGGCTACTTGCTTCAGAGCTAGATTTTATTTAGGCCATTTAACTACAAGCAAGTTGAAATTTTAGTGTCTTTATTTCCATAGGCTGGCTCTTCCCAAGGGGCCTCTTCTGGGCTTTCTGTAGTTAAAGTTCTAAGTGCCAGTGAAGTGGCAGCTCTCTCATCACCAGCAAGTTCTGCTCCTCATTCGGGGGGAAAGACAGGAATGGAAGAAAACCGCAGGCTGGAGCACCAGAAGAAGCAAGAGAAGGCAAATCGGATTGTAGCAGAGGCTATTGCTAGGGCCCGTGCCCGGGGTGAGCAGAACATACCTCGAGTCCTGAATGAAGATGAGTTGCCCAGCGTTCGGCCGGAGGAGGAAGGTGAGAAGAAACGCAGGAAGAAGAGCAGTGGAGAGAGGCTGAAGGAGGAAAAGCCAAAGAAGAGCAAAACATCTGGTACCTCCAAAACCAAGGGCAAGAGTAAGCTAAAGTGAGTACCCCGTTGCTATTTTGATGGGACATTTTAGGGCAGTGTACTTATTTTTTACTTTTATTCTTTTTTTTTTTTTTTTAGTGCTTTCGTAGCTGAGCTATAAGTAGCATTGAAGAACTTGTATTTAGCAGTTACATAGTTCAAGGTGATCTATTATAGAATAAGGCCTTTCTGTTCTGTGTCCCAATGCTTATATGATTTGTTAAACAGAAATGTGCAAATTACTGTATTTTAACCACTTCAGTATGAAGGTCAATTATAGTTAATAGCCACAGATGAACATGCACAGCCCAGCCTCGACTATAGTTGATAGCCACAGATGAACGTGCACAGCCGAGCGTCAACTTTAGCTGACAGCTGTGATATGACTTTTCTGATTTTTCATTTATCAAAATAAAATTGTGAACATTTAAAAATAACATAATAAAAACATATATGTATATGTTATCTATTCTGATGTACATTACAAGTAAAGCTGCCTGTAAAGTAAAACAAGCTTCAGTGCTTTACTTTCAGTGCATCACACAAGATCAAAACAGATCTGTTGTCAGTGCACAGCACAAACTATCGTGTGGACTGTAAGTGCCAGCTGTGGGCAAGGATTCACAGCCGGTGAGCGCCTTACCGAAGTGGTTAAAAGGAAAACACTAAGGCACAGAGAAGAGCCAATCATTGTTGGGGGTTACCTCTAAAAGCTATGACTCTTGTATATGTATATATTTGCACTGATTTTGTTTCACTGTAGTATGAAAGAGATTTCTCACTCCCCCCTTACCACTCACACCAATAAAAAGAGAATTGCTGGAGACATGGCTGCTCTGTTCTTGTGTCTTATCTGTGAATTGGAGAAGATTTCAGCAGCCGCTGTTAGCCATAAGCAGTGTTGGCAGAACTGTGGCTTGCCACATAATTCTTGTCACAATTGAATATCCTCTCTTTCTTTTCCATGTCTTGTAGCTTTTCTTATTAGCTTCTACTCCCTGGGTAGTAGGGAGTACTTCAGCTTTTTGTTATAATAATGCTTTATGTTTGTATAGGATTTTCAGCTTTTAAAAAACAAGTTTTATGTCTCTTATTTGATCCTCAATGACTGTCAGGACAGGTATTATCTGTGTCTGCAAATAAAGAAACTAATGCCCACCTGGTGACAGAACTGGAACTAAAACAAGGCCTTTAATTCTTAGTCCAGTATTCATTCTCCTGTCTTATACTACCTTTCTTCAGGTATTTGTAAGCACAGTAATAGCAAGGATTTATCAAATACAGTGTAAAGGTCAGTGTATTATAAACCTTATTATCTTCCTCTTTCAAACATCCTATTCAATAGCTCTGTGTCCTGTAGACTGAAGAACTAAACATTTACATCTGAAAACTTAATATATGATGGTTTAAATTAATTATGTTTTCTTACCCCTAAATTTTCCTTGCCCTCCCTGAAAATGAATTTGGTTTTTCTTTTTTAGCACCATCACTCCTGTAGTGGGTAAGAAAAGAAAACGCAATACCTCATCTGATAATTCAGATGTGGAAGTCATGCCTGCACAATCACCTCGGGAAGATGAAGAAAGCAGCATTCAGGTAAAAGGATCCCTAAAGAACTTAGTAGAAAAATTCTGTTTAATAATGGCTAACAAGCCAGGAATAAATACCGAGAGACTCTATGCATATTTCTTCAGTTTTTCTAAACCTGAGGTAGGCCTAAAAGGTGAATGGGCCTGGTCAATGTCTTTTAAATTTTTGGTTTTTTAGGCAAAGAGCATATTACTGAAAAAATAATGACACTCATTTTTCCAAGTTCCAGTGTTTCAAATACTAAGCAAATGATACGAAGTTATGCTGCGTGATTGCTGTTGTGGCTGTGTTAACTTTTGCTTTCTCTTAGAACTGTCCAGCTATCCCTTTTGCCTTACCTTTTCTACACTTCAGGGTTCTGACTCTGAACTGGGGTTCTTAGGCACAAAGTTTTTTTCTACCTTTTGAAGATGAGAGACATTGGAAAAGACCAAAAGAAGCCAGACCAGAAGAACTTTAGTTTTCCATCTCTGATTTGTTGCCTTGTAGTACCATCTTTGTCTCCAGTTTCCAACCATAGAAAGAACCTGATATTAAGATTCAGGAGACCCATGGTACTTCTGAATAGCTTTGTGGGCCTGGCCAATTTACTTAACTTAGCTGGGTCTGAATTTCTCATCTATAAGTGGAGATTTGGACTACATAAACCTTAAGTGTCTATTAATATTTAGAAATGCCTCTTCTCTTTCTTAATATACATTCAATACATTGGCAAACTGATAACTTGGGTTCTTTGGGGAGAAATTATCATGTGAGAATAGCGAAGAAATTTTTAAAAAGGGAAATGAGGTCAAAAAATAACAATCAGTATATTATGAAATAATGATTATTAACTAAGACTTTGGAATTAGAAAAGAAAACAGATTAATAAGAGATAATAGAGCCTAGAACTAGACTCAGTTATGAAAACGTACCATATATGATTAAAATATTTTAAATCAATAAGGAGAAAGATTATTCAATAAATTATCTTAGGACAGGACAGGTATAGTGGCTTATACCTGTAAACCCAGTGCTTTGGGAGGTCAAGGCAGGAGAACTTTTTTTTAAAAAAAAAAAAAAGAAAAAATTAGGACAACTGACTACCTGTTTAGGAGAAAACAAAACTAGATTTCTTGCCTTACTCCTTAAACAAAACCCAATTTAATCAAAAGTCTAAATACAAAAAATGAAATCATGAATTTTCTATAAAGCATGGATACATTTTTTAATAATTATCAAGTAGACTAGATCTTTGTAAAGAGGGCATTAAAACTCATAAATAAAAAACCATAACAATCAAAAAATTTAGACATTATAAAGGGAAAGATTGGTATGCTTGATATATAAAAATTATATATGCTATAACTACAAAAAATTTCCACAAACAACATAGTGGTTGAGAGCACAGACTCTGGATCCTTATTTCATGGGTTCTCATCTTAACTCTCCCATATACTTGCATTGTCACTTGGAGTAGATTACTTAACCTCTTGGTACCTCAATTTCCTCACCTCTAAAATGCAAATAACAATACCTACCAAGTAGACTTGTTATGAGGATTAAATGTAAACATTTATAAAGCACATAGAACAGTGTTTAGCTCATGATAATAGCACATATTAAGAGTTACATACATATTCTTTGGTTGGAATGTGTTCCTCAAAGTTCTTGTGTTGGAAACTAAATCTCCAATGCAACCGTGTTGAAAGGTGGGACCCTTAAGAGGTGATCAGGTAATGGATTAATGTCATTATCTTGGGAGTAGTTTCTTACCAAGAGAGTAGGTTTATAATAAAAGCAACTTTGGCCTCTTTTGCTCTTTCACATGTTTACTCTCTGACCTCTTGCCTTCCTACCATGGGGTGATGCAGCAAGAAGGCCCTCCCCAAATGCCAGCACCTTGGATATTGGACTTACCAGCCTCTAGAACTCTGAGAAATAAATTTCTTTTCTTTATAAATTACCTAGTCTCAGATATTCTGTTATAGCAGCACAATAAATAAAAATTAAATAACAGTTTAAGTGTTAAATAAATTATTTGCTAAGTAAACAAAAAAAAAAAAAACTGAAGGCAAATTTTTATAATACAAGAAATACAAAGATTAGTAAAATTTAGCAAGTGGTATGTTAGTTTGTAACAAATTATCACAAACTAAGTGGCTTAAACTATAAACATTTATTTTCTCACAATTCTGGAACCTAAAAGTTTAAGATCATATGGTCCATAAGTTTAGTTTCTCCTAATGCTTTTCTCCTTGGCTTGCAGGTGGCTAGCTTCTCACTGTGTCCAAACATAATCTTTTCCTCTATTGTTACACATTTCTGGTGTCTCTCTTTTTTTTTCCTTTTTCCTGGTGTCTCTTTGTGTGTCCAGATTTCCTCTTCTTGATGACACTAGTCAGATTAGATTAGAGCCTACCCTACTGGCCTCATTTAAACTTAATTGCCTCTTTAAAGGCCCTGTCTCCAAATATAGTCACATTCTGATATACTAGGGGTTAGGGCTTCAATATATGAATTTGGTGAAAGAACACAGTTCAGCCCATGACAAGTGGAATTACCAATGTTGGCAATGAAGTTAAGGAAAAGACATTTCACACAGTTGATAGGAATATTAATTGGGACAATCTTTTTGGCAAGTCAATATTTCCACATATAGCATAATTTAAAATATTAATGCCCTTTGATTCTGTGATTCTGCAACTGGGAAATTACCTTGTGTACATGCTCTCAGAAGTATGCAGTGATATATATATTGGACCAGTATTTGCAATAGCAAAAACATCTAGGCCAGGAGCGGTGGCTCACGCCTGTAATCCTAACACTCTGGGAGGCAGGGGTGGACAGATCGCTCAAGGTCAGGAGTTCAAAACCAGCCTGAACAAGAGCGAGACCCCATCTCTACTTTAAATAGAAAGAAATTAATCGTACAACTAAAACTATATGTAGAAAAATTTAGCTGGACATGATGGCACATGCCTGTAGTCCAGGCATGAGAGGCTAAGGCAGAAGGATTGCTTGATCCCAGGAGTTTCAGGTTGCTATGAGTTAGGCTGATGCCACAGCACTCTATCCCAGGCAACAGGGTGAGACTCTGTCTCAAAAAAAAAAAACAAAAAAAAAATCTAAAAATTTAATTGCCCGTTGGTGGAGAAATAGTTAAATAAAATTGTAAAAATCCATGCAGTAGAATACTACGTGGCAATTAAAAACAATGAAGTAGGCCAGGCGCAGTGGCTCATGCCTGTAATCCTAGCACTCTGGGAGGCTGAGGCAGTCGGATTGTGGAGGTCAGGAGTTCGAAACCAGCCTGAGCAAAAGCGGAAACCCCTCTCTACTATAAATAGAAAGAAATTAATTGGCCAACTAATATATATACAAAAAATGAGCTGGGCATGGTGGCCCACGCATGCCTGTAGTCCCAGCTACTTAAGAGGCTGAGGCAGCAGGATCGCTTGAGCCCCCAGGAGTTTGAGGTTGCTGTGAGCTAGGCTGATGCCACGGCACTCACTCTAGCCTGGGCAACAAAGTGAGACTCTGTCTCAAAAACAAAAAAAAAAAATGAAAAAAAACAACAACAATGAAGTAGATTGGAGTGTGTAAATAGGGAAAACTCTTCATATTAAATTTAAAAAGGTGTAGAATACATATATATAATATTTCTTTATAACTTTTAATGTATGTATGTTTTTGTTTGGGTACATACACCTTTATGCACTAATTTTTTTCTGGAAGGATACATAAGAAATTGATAATATGTATCTTTAAGGAGAGGGATTAAAGGGTAAGTGAGATATGATAATTTTACTTCATTGTTTATGCTTTGGACCTGTGAACTTTTTTAAACTTCTTAACTATTTGCCATTTTATTTTTTAGTGTAAACAATGTAGATAGGAGAAAAATTACATTGGTGCAAAAAAAGTAGACACTAAATAGTCTCCTATTCTGGTAGACACTAGAATAGTCTCCTATTCTAGACCCTGGCCTCACTGTCTCCCAGTTCTTCCTAGAGGTAGCTTCTGTTACTATTTTTTTTGTATATCTTCCCAGAAATATTCTTTACTTTCATGAAGACTCTACTTCCACTTCCACGAAATAATTAGGATTCCATACCTACTCTTATGTACTGTGGTTTTTTTCCCCCAATGATATGTCTTGGAGGTTATTCTTTATTTGAAAAAGATAGAACTAGCCCATTCTCCCCCTCCCTTTTTTATTATGAAAATTTTCAAACATACTCAAGAGTAAATTATTTAATATTTAATGAAGTCTATGTTCCCCTTCTCCCACTTTAATACTTACCAACAGATGGCTATTTTTTCTCCCACTCCAGTCTTGTCCCCCTTTTGAGGTATTTTAAAGCAAATTCAAGTGATTTGTTTAGTGTTTCTTAGATTTTTAAAAAATAAGTCATTTTAGGCTGGGCGCCATGGCTCATGCCTGTAATCCTAGCACTCTGGGAGGCCGAGGGGGGAGGATTGCTTGAGCTCAGGAGTTCGAGACCAGCCTGAACAAGAGCAAGACCCTATCTCTACTATAAATAGAAAGAAAATTAGCCAAGCAACTAAATATAGAAAAAATTAGCTGGGCATGGTGGCACATGCCTGTAGTCCCAGCTACTTTGGGAGGCTGAGGCAGAAAGATTGCTTGAGCTCAGGGGTTTGAGGTTGCTGTGAGCTAGGCTGACGTCACGGCACTCTAGTCCAGGTAAAAGAGTGAGACTCTGTCTCCAAAAAGGAAATAAATAAATAAAAGTCATTTTAAGAATACTACATATGATGCATGTGATTAATAAAAATCAAGTAATACAGAGATATAAAAACTAAAAGGTAGAATGTCTCTCCCAATCCCCACTCTCTAAAAGCAATTATCAATAGTTTATGTATTCTCCTAGATTTTTTAAATGAGATATAATGTACATACACAGTTAAATATGCACAAATCTTATTTGTATAATTTGGTAAGTTTTGCCAAATGTATCCAAGTAACCACCACCCATATCAAGATAAAGAATCTTTTTATCACCCAAGAAAATTCTCCTGTACTCTCTTCCAATCATTCCATCTCCTCTTTCCATAGGCATTTCTATCACCATAGCTTAATTTAGCCTATTCTTAAACTTTATATAAATGGAATCATACAGTATGTACTCTTGGGTTTACTTCTTTTAGCATAATGTTTTTGAGATTCATCCATGTTAAATGTATCAGTAGTTCATTTTTTTTTTCCTTAAATAATATGTGATTTTATGAATATACTATAATTTGTTTATTCATTCTCCTATTCATGGAAATTGGGGTTATTTCCAGTTTGAGGCTATCATGAATAAGGCTGCAATAAACAGTCTTAGTATGTTTAAGTATTTTGTGGACATAATTTTTTTTTTTTTTTTTTTTTGAGACAGAGTCTCGCTCTGTTGTCCAGGCTAGAGTGAGTGCCCGTGGCGTCAGCCTCGCTCACAGCAACCTCAAACTCCTGGGCTCGAGCGATCCTTCTGCCTCAGCCTCCCAAGTAGCTGGGACTACAGGCATGTACTGCAGTGCCCGGCTAATTGTTTTTTTTTAGAGACGGGGTCTCGCTCTTGCTCAGGCTGGTTTTGAACTCCTGACCTTGAGCAATCCGCCTGCCTCGGCCTCCCAGAGAGCTAGGATTACAGGCATGAGCCACCACGCCGGGCCCATACAGCTTTTTAAAAAAATGCGTTTTTTTGAGACAGGATCTAATTCTGTTACCCAGGCTAGAGTGTAGTAGCATCATCATAGCTCACTGCAATCTCAGACTCTTGAGCTCAAGTGACCCTCCTGCCCAGTTTTCCGAGTAGCTGGGACTACAGGCATGTACTGCAGTGCCCGGCTAATTGTTTTTTTTTTGAACAGTGTCTTACCATGTTGCTCAGGCTAGCCTTGAACTCCTGGCTTCAAGTGATCCTCCTGCCTTGACCTCCCAAAGTGCTAGGATTACAGGCCTGGTTACATAGTGCTTGGTTCATGTGACATTTTTTCTCAGTTTATTATTTGTTTTTGCTTATGATGGACTATATTATGCAAATAACCTTAAATTTTTTTACACATTCAAATTGATCAGTTTATTAGGAAGAATTCCTATTCCAGGACTATAAAAAAGTCTTTCCATTTTTCTCTGAGAACTTTTATGTCCTTTAAAAATATTTATTTAAATCTTTGATCCTTTTAGAATTTTGTTTCATCTTCTACATAGCTAGGCGTTCTTCCAATCTCATTTATATAGTAATTCATTTTTTCCTCACTGATGAGAAGTGTCATTTTTATCATGTTCTAAATCCACATAAATATTTTAGTCTGTATTTGAACACTATTTCATTGACCTTTTTGTCTCTTCATGGGCAGATATCAAGCTGTATCTGTTAGTATAGCTTACTATTGGTAAGGCCCACTATACTTTTTTACATTTTTCTTGGTTATTCTTAGATATTTATTTGTCCATTTGAATTTTAGAATCAGTTTCTCTAGCTAAAAAATGTTAATTTTGTTTCATCATATTTAGGTAATTACTGAGAATTAAGTCCTCCTTAAGACTTAAGAAATAGTATGTTTTCCTACTCAAGTCTTTTTTGTCTTGTAGTGTTTTAAAGTTTTCTTCATATAGATTTTATATATACCTTATTAAATTTAATCCTTTAGACAATCTTTGTGTTTTCATAAATGGAACGTTTTATTATGTTTTCTGGCTGACTCTATATAAAAGTAGTGTTAATTTTTAAAAATTAATTTTATACCAAGCCAGTTTGCTCAGTTTCAGTAGTTCTATTATTTGATTCTTTTGGCTTTTCTCAGGGCTATAGTTGTGGTTGAAAAATAATAATTTTAGGCTGGGCGCCGTGGCTCACGCCTGTAATCCTAGCACTCTGGGAGGCAGAGGCAGGCAGATTGCTCGAGGTAAGGAGTTCGAAACCAGCTGGAGAAAGAGCGAGACCCCGTCTCTACTATAAATAGAAAGAAATTAATTGGCCAACTAATATATATAGGAAAATTTAGCCGGGACTGGTGGCACATGCCTGTAGTCCCAGCCACTCTGGAGGCTGAGGCAGTAGGATTGCTTGAGCCCAGGAGTTTGAGGTTGCTGTGAACTAGGCTGCTGCCACAGCACTCACTCTAGCCTGGGCAACACAGTCAGACTCTCTCTCAAAAAAAACAAAAAAAGAAAAGAAAAGAAAAATAATAATTTTATCTCTTCTTCCTTCCAAACTTTTTATCACAAGCTATGACTATTAAATTACTTAATTAAAAAATGTTTTATTTAACCAATTGAAAGAATAAGGTAGATCTAAAACATTGATATGGAAAGGAAAACATTTATTAGAAATATTAACTAAAAAAGTAAGCAACAGAAGAGTAAATATAGTATGATTTTTATTTATTAAAACAAAAATATGGCCAGGCGCGGTGGCTCACACCTGTAATCCTAGCACTTTGGGGAGGCCAAGGCAGGTGAATTGCTTGAGGTCAGGAGTTCAAAACCAGCCTGAGCAAGAGCGAGACCCTGTCTCTACTATAAATAGAAAGAAATTAATTGACCAACTAATATATATAGAAGAAAATCAGCCGGGCCTGGTGGCCCATGCCTGTAGTCCCAGCTACTCGGGAGGCTGAGGCAGGATTGCTTGAGCCCAGGGATTGAGGTGCTGTGAGCTAGGCTGACGCCACGGCACTCACTCTAGCCTGGGCAACAAAGTGAGACTCTGTCTCAAAAAAAAAAAAGAAAAAATATTTGGAACTAAGAGGAGAAAATGAAATTAGAAACAAAATATTCTTATATATTTGCATTTCAGGGTTGCTCCTAGTGTGAAGTATATTGCATCCTGTTTCAATTTCCCAGAGCTTCTTGCCAATAGTGTACAGGTTTCTTTCAGTGGATTCCTGGCCTTTGATAAAGCAATTCAGCAAATTGATATATATTCAGTACATAGAATAACTCAGATGGTTTGACAGATAATCTCTTTCTCATCTTTTGGTTTGATTTTTCATGGGAATTTGAGTGAAATCTAAGTATATGACCATGGGCAAACAGTTTTGTAAGTTTCCTCTTTCAGACACCTAAGCCGTCATTTTAACTAAATTTTCCTCTGCAGAAGAGACGCTCAAACCGCCAAGTTAAGCGAAAAAAGTATACAGAGGACCTGGATATAAAGATCACAGATGATGAAGAAGAAGAAGAGGTAGATGTAACTGGTCCAATAAAACCTGAGCCTATCCTCCCTGAACCAGTGCAAGAACCAGATGGCGAGACTTTGCCTTCCATGCAATTCTTTGTGGTAAGCTGATAACTTAAGCAATTTGAGGGGTTTGTTCTGCTGGTCACAGTTATCTGTTAACTACTGCATCTTTTGCTGCAGGAGAATCCCAGTGAAGAAGATGCAGCCATTGTAGACAAAGTGCTTTCTATGCGGATTGTGAAGAAAGAGGTGAGGCCTCTTACCTCTTTTTATTCTTTTTTTTTTTCTTTAAGAGGTGGGGTCTTGTGTTACCAGGCTGGAGTGCAGTGGCTATTCATAGGCATAATCATTGCACACTACAGCCTTGAACTCTTGGGGTCCCCATTCTCCTGCCCTGGCCTCCTAAGTAGCTAGTACTATAGGCATGTTCCACTGTGCCTGGCTCTTCTCTTTCTTTAATATCAGCCCATAATGCTATATTTACACACTTTATTTAATGAGCACCTTTCGATATCAGGATGTATTGCTAGGATGTACTTATGAGAGATGATAGAAGAAAGTTAACTAGAAAATAGAAACTGCCTCATCTTTCACTTATCTGTTGAGACTGTATAAAGGCTTATTTTTTTTTCCAGCCATCAGGTCTCTAGTGCTAAAGCACCAGATTGGTTCCTTAATCCCTGAGTCAGTAATACAATTCAGGAACACTGATATGAAGTTCTGCCATGTGTGGTTAAAATTAATATGTTCTTTCTTTGTCCAATAAAAGACTAATAACTATAATTTCTTTCTTCTCAGCTTCCTTCTGGACAGTATACTGAAGCAGAAGAATTCTTCGTCAAGTATAAGAACTAGTATGTGATCTATGTAAAAAGCTTTTCACCCCAAACTCCACAGAGTTGTAAAAGGTTCTCTTGTGTTGACTATCTTGTGTGGGAATGTGTCCCTTTTTTATAGTCTGCTAGTCCAGATTACTGGGTTTTTTTTGTTATTGTTTTTGTTTTCTAAATATAGACAGGATCTGGCTCTCTTGCCCGGGCTGAAGTACAGTGGCACAGTGCAACCTCAAACTTTTGGACTCAAGTGAATCCTCTTCCTTCAGCCTCTCAAGTAGCTAAAGTTACAGGCATGGGCCACCACACCTGGCTAATTTTTTTAAATAAACATTTTGTAGAGATGGGGTATCACTAGGTTGCCCAGGCTGGTCTGGAGCTTCTGGCCTCAAACCATCCTTCCACCTCAGCTTCCCACAGTGCTGGGATTACAGGTGTGAGCTACCATGCCCAGCCCCAGATTGCTGTTTTTAATGGGGAAAGTGGCTATTTAGAGAGAAATTCAGGAACTGATATGACTCTTACTATTTTCTTACAGAAAGGTGGGATGAGGGTCGTTCCTTATTCTTTGTGGATTCTCTCTCCTTCAGTCTAGCACTAAGACCTTGCTACTAAAAGTGTGGCCCATGGACTGGTAGAGTTAGCGTTGCTTGAGTGCCTTTTAGAAATGTAGACTTTCAAGCACATTTATATGGTTTATATGCAAATTGAAGTTTCAGAAGCACTGACGTAAGAGACTATATCCCAGTTTAAGCACACACTGTCATGTCTGCTTCTGGCTAATCCCCAAATCTCAAACACTTGCCTGCCAACTTCCCTTTCTTGCACCATGACTGGCTGTTTCCATGTCCTTCAGCTCCTATCTACACTGTGAATGGGCCACTATCTCCCAACTTGAAAAGGATAAGAGGATCCATCAAAAACTAAAGCGCTTCAAAACCAAAATGGCTCAGATGAGACACTTCTTCCATGAGGTAATGGAGATAAGTATTGCCGATATATCTCTTTCATAGAAGCACAAATTACTGGAGTTGTCAGCATTAGCTGATTATTTAAAAGATGTATAGTTGGTTTGTATAAAAGGATATAAAGTTTTAATTTTGATCATTGACTTTCCTTATTTAATTGCCCCATGGTTTGTTTTCCTAGGTTTAAATATAGTGTGTTTATTAGTTGTAGGGTATGTTGAAATTGACCTGCCTAATACTCATGAAGTGTTTTCAAAACAAATCATAAACTGATGTCTCGTCTACTGAGGCATTCTTCTCCTTGTAATATCAGTCTTTAGCTATTGATGGTATCTATAGATATAAGCAACTGTATTATTAAGGGAGAACATTTATTTTCTCAAATTTTGAATCCAATATTATTAGAAATAGTGATAAAGGAGCTTTTAATTTCCAATATCCAGGTTTACTATTAGTTAAACACTAGAACAAGATGAAATATGTCCATTATATTTAAGGAGGTCATTAATGACCTTAACAAGAATAGTTTTGGTTATGTGATGCAAGTGGAAGAGTGGAATGGATGGACTCATGAACAAGGTGAAGCATGTATGAACAGAAGTGAATGGAAATAGCATGTGTTTAAAACTCTTGGGAAAGTTTGGGTAAGAAGCACAGCATAAAAATAGTTGCAGGGGATGTAGAGTCAAAGAAGGTCTTTTTAAAGATCTGAAATAGTGGAACACACTTGTGTTTATGGGAATGATTCATTAGAGGGATTCCTAAGAATACAAGAAGGGATGGGATCCAGAGCATATATGGAATGGCCTCTGATAGGGAGAAGGGCAGCAGGTGAGAAGATAGGCACAGACCCAGGTATGTTTTTGTATGATTTGATATTGTGAAAATGGGGAACTCCTATTACATTGCTTCTTTTTTCTTAAAAAATTTTGAGGTAGGATTATCTGCTGAAGGTGAGGTGGAGGGGTTGTTTTACTGGACAGTGATCTTTTGTTCTTATTGTTTGATTATATAATTTTGTTTAGGATGAAGAGCCCTTCAATCCAGACTATGTAGAGGTGGATAGGATATTGGATGAGTCTCACAGTATTGACAAGGACAATGGGGAGGTGAGTTGGGGCATGGAGGAACATGAAATTCCTCTTAGATTTCTGCTGGTCTATTTGGCAATCCCTTTTTTCCAGGTATGGCTGGAAAGTCCCTAGGACTGAATAAGTATTTCTGAATTTTATTTTGGGATCCTTAGAAAGATAATGGGAAGGTAAGGGCGTAGGAAGAGGAGAAGCAAAAAGAAAGATTCATGTAAAGTCAAACATCTAGGAGATACATTGATTAATTAATTAATTAGAGACAGGGTGTCACTATGTTGCCTAGGCTGGATTTGAACTCCTGGCGTCAAGTGATCCTCTTACCTTCACCAAGTATCTGGGACTACAGGTGCACACCACTGCACATCTGGCTAATTAAAAAAAAAACTATTTTGTTTTTAGAGATGGGTCTCAATATGTTACCCAGGTTGGTCTCAAACTACTGTCCTCAAGTGATCCTCTCACCTCAGCTTCCAAGTAGCTGGGATTTACAGGTGTGAGCCACTGTACTTGGCTGGGAGCTATATTTATAAGTACTGAAAAGTCATTCCCTTGGTCTCATTTTTCCTCAGATTTTATATGGGAGACCTTCAGTTGGAAGTTGGGTGTCGGGCAAGAGAAAGGGATATTTCACAAATTCCTAAATTTATACATATTAAAATACTTGTATGGGCTTACTTTTACCTTTCTCCAAATTATGTTGTTGAGAATTAGTTATTTCCTAAACTCACCATTTATTAAATACCTTTTTGTTTGTCATTGAAACAGATCTGCTACATTTGAATTTGTATTTTAAAACAGATTTTGGGGTCCTACTTCCATAGGTTCAGATTTGGTAAATATAGGTTGGGACCCCAAGATCTTTAAGTTGATAATCCAAGGAATTTTTATGCATGGCTTCATTTGGGAATCACCACTCTAAAGCTTTCTTAGTTTGGGGAGCATGTTTTACATATGCTGAAACAGACCACCATTTTTGTTTTCCAAACAGTCACATAGCTCTAAACTACCAATAAATTCAACTTGTTCTATTTTAAATTTACTTCAAACTTTTGTTTAGGCTATGAGCTGTACCACTTTCTTAAAACACTTTCTTCTCACTTCAAGCAGCAGTCTTTGGTTTAGTTTTGTAGGGTCATAAACAGAATTGTTTTTATCATATCTGATATTTACTTCTTACACAATGACTAGCAGAGAACAACAGAACCTTCTTAAGATGTCAGTGCTGGATGGTGATCTGGGGCTTACTCATGAGCCACGTGACTTGCTCCTGTATATCATTCTAACGGGACCTATAAGTCAAATTCTTCCCTCTATAAAATTCTAAAGTTTGCTCTACTTTATAAATAGCCTTCAGGTTCCCTCAGATAACCAGAATCTTATATGTCCAGGGACTATTACAATTTGTTGCCTTCAAATCCTAATAAGCATGCTTCCAATAATATATATTTTGCTTTTGGAGTTGGAGGTAAGAGTTGTCCTGTGTTTATTTATGAGAGGTGAGTGGAGAATGGACCAGTTTATTAGGTCAGGTTAGCTACTCTTAAATTCTTCTCATCATTTTTAGGATTGCAGCCTTCCCAGCCTTGAAAATCTTATGCTCTCTACTACCATACTTATTCTTCCAAAAGCAGTTGGCCCTTTGGAGTATGTTGCAACTGGCATGACAGGTGAAAATGTTTTGGTACCCTGATTCTATAATTTATGCCCCCAATATTGGATAATAACACTTTGTGTAACCATTTCCCCTCCTCTTCAAAGTAACTTTACCTTGTCATCCATTTTACATTATCTAATAGTGGAAATAAATATTATAATACATATTTTGGTCCTTAGAAAAGTATGTTATGCTGGAAATGTGTGACCTGGACAGATGACTTTACATAGAGAGTGATCTGAGTCACTACAATAAAGAAAAAGGTAAAAGGGAAGCTGGATTAATTCTAGGGATTCCTTGATCTATGACTATGTTGAGGCACTTTTATACTTCTTGCTAGTTGTTTTAAAGAGTATTCTATGAATTGGTAATTAGAAATTTCTGTTGATTGTGCTAGGCCCAGTCTAATCCTGCTAGCTTTATACTGCATGAGCTGAAAATGGAAATGCAGTAAGTACAATTGTTTACAAATAGTGAAAATAGGAGCCATTCAAACATTGGTTGCTGCCTCTTCCCTTGCAGTGAAATGCCTGCATACAATATTACTGTAGTTGGATCTTGAGCATTTCTTCTTTACTCTTATTACCTCTCTTCAGTGACAGATCTGGTAATTATCTCCTAGCTTCCTGAGGCTCACAAGGAAATCTGTTTATCACCATATAATTGCTCTTGAAGTGCATATACACTCAGAGCTATAGGGGTTCAGAAGCCCAGGGATGTTAGCCCTAGAATGCTCCTAGGGGTTTACCCTATTTCTCATCCTAAAAGTAACTTGGTTTCCACTGTATCAAATTTGGTGCCAGGAGAATGGTATGGCACCAAGCCATATCTTTTAATTTCAGCACAGTATAGGAAAAGAATAGCCTTTTATTTTTTGTCTGTTTGGTTGATGAGCATAATGTTTTAGTGCTTACTTAGTGTTCTAAAAACTACTGGGTAGAAATTTTACTTAGGACAGATTCTGATAAATTATCTTGAAGAATGATCAAAGACATGAACAGTGCATTAGTAGGTCAACATATGCTTGGTATGTTCAGCCTGACTTTTTCAGCAGCTTTTAGGTATCAACACTTTGTGATGTGATTTTATAGTCAAATTCTTATTTTTTTAACCACAGCAGAGAACATAGAATCAGTTTTTTAAAGCTTTGGCTTCTTTTCTCTTAGCCTGTTATTTACTACCTGGTGAAATGGTGCTCTCTGCCCTATGAGGATAGTACATGGGAGCTAAAAGAGGATGTTGATGAAGGCAAGATTCGAGAATTTAAACGGATACAGTCAAGGCACCCAGAACTCAAGAGGGTGGTGAGTATATTTGCATTTAGAGTATAAAGGCCTATATAGGGAATGATTTAATTTTTTCTTCTTTAGAAGTTTTTGTTGTTTTTGCTTTTTATTACAGAAATTTTCAAACATAAAAGTTGAGGAAATAGTATAATATACCCATTACCCAGTTAACAATTATTAATACATGTCCATTCTTGTGTAATACATTTTCCTACCATTCATTCCTATGTTTCCCAGGCTTTTAAAAATCAAATCCCAGATTCCTTTATTTCATCTGTGAATATATCATTGTTTATGTCTGAAAGATAAATAATACCATTATTAAACTTCAAAAAAATTAATCATTTCTTAATATCAATCAATGTGTACATTTCTTTGACTGTCTTATAATTTTTGTTAAGTTACTTGAATTGGGTTCTAAATAAGGTCCATATGTTGCTATCAGTTAATATGTCTCAAGTATCTTTTTTTATTTTTTTTTTTGAGACAGAGTCTCACTTTGTTGGCCAGGCTAGAGTGAGTGCCGTGGCGTCAGCCTAGCTCACAGCAACCTCAAACTCCTGGGCTCAAGCAATCCTGTTGCCTCAGCCTCCCAAGTAGCTGGGACTATAAGCATGCGCCACCATGCCCAGCTAATATTTTCTATATATATATTAGTTGGCCAATTAATTTCTTTCTATTCATAGTAGAGACGGGGTCTCGCTCTTGCTCAGGCTGGTTTTGAACTCCTGACGTTGAGCAATCTGCCCGCCTCAGCCTCCCAGAGTGCTAGGATTACAGGCGTGAACCACCGCGCCCAGCCTCAAGAATCTTTTAATTGTAGTTCCCCTTTGATCTGCTCATCTCCCACCTTTACAACTTTCTCTTGAGGAATTGAGGCGATTTGTTTTGTAGGGTTTTCCATAGTCTGAAATTTGCTGATTGCATTCCCCTTGATATCTTTTAACATATTCTCTGTCCCTGATATTTCTCATGAATGCTTAGGTCTAGAGCAGCACTATCCAATAAAAATTTTTAGTGCTGTGCTGTTTAATACATTGGCCACTAGCCACATTATTTTAATATTATAGAAAGTTCTGTTAGACATCACTGTTCCTAGAGGCTTGATCAGACTGATGACACTGATGAAGGAAGCCAATAAATCTGCTTCATAGATGGTGGTGTGTAGTTCTATCTGGTTGTGCTTTGTGATGTTATCAGCCATTCATGATCATTCTAGATTTGTTGTTTCAGGATTTTAAAGTGGTGATATTTTAATTCTCCCATTTCTTCACTTATTAGCCAGAATCTTCAATAAATTTTGTTTCATCTACTATTTGGTTACCTGAAGGTAGAGATTATATAGAGATAAATACTTTTTTTTTTTCAGCATATTATGGGGGTACTTATATATTAAGGTTACTTATATTGCCCTTCCCCCCCACCTCGAGTCAGGGCTTCAAGTGTGTCCATCCCTTAGTTGCTGCACATTGCACTCATTATGTATGTATATACCCATCTCCTCCCCCCAACCTGCCCGACAACCGATAAATGTTATTCCTGTATGTCCACTTAGGTGTTCATCAGTTAATACCAATTTGCTAGTGAGTACATGTGGTGCTTCATACTTTTTCTTTATTTCCCTTTTTCCAAAGTAATGAAGTTAGTAGTTCCCTTGCATCCACCAAAAGTGACCAGTAGGTGTTTCCTCTTTTATCTTTTTTTTTGTTAATATCATTTTTAATTGAAGGATTGAAATATATTTGATATGTTTTAATCCAAACAATAATGTTTTTGAATTGACTTTAACTATTATAACTACCTAGTAAGTCTTGCCTAATTTTGTTAATGTCTTCACTCCACTTACTCAAATTTCATGTTTTTTAGAATCGTCCGCAGGCAAGTGCCTGGAAGAAACTGGAGCTGTCACATGAATATAAAAACAGAAACCAGTTAAGGGAATATCAGTTGGAAGGGGTCAATTGGCTGCTATTTAATTGGTATAACAGGTAAAGAAAAGAGTGGGCCCATAAATATATACTTATTCCTGGGATTATTTACTAATTTTCTATTGAAACGTTTTTTTCCTATGTCCTCTGCTTTTTAAGATGATATCTTTTGACATGTTTATTTTCTCCACCTCATGTTGAATCTGCAGACAGAACTGCATCCTGGCTGACGAGATGGGATTGGGCAAAACTATTCAGTCCATTGCCTTCTTGCAGGAGGTATATAATGTGGGCATCCATGGCCCCTTCTTGGTAATTGCCCCACTGTCCACAATTACTAACTGGGAGCGAGAATTCAATACATGGACAGAGATGAACACTATTGTGTACCATGGCAGTCTGGCCAGCCGGCAGATGATTCAGCAATATGAAATGTACTGCAAAGATTCACGGGTGAGTTATATGTCTTCAGAATGCTATGTTTTTGAGAAAGTAGGCCAAGGGACCTGGTATTTTAGGGGCTATGTAAGAATAAAAGACTTTTATTGAATCAGTGCTCTGTGATTTAAGGGATTTTTGTGCAACGATTCACAGGGCATTTTTTTTACTTTGGTATTTTTCCCCAGTAGACATTTAGATCCAGTGGAAGTTGTGACTTTATTCAATTTATGATTACATACAATTTAAGTAGAATTTTATCAGCATTAATGAGTTTTAATCAGAGTATTTTACAGAATGAAATCCATTTACCCACTTAGTCCATATGGTAGTGAACTTAAATTATTATTTTCTTTTTTTTTTTTTTTTTAGTCTACTGAAATTTGAAAAGGAAAATGTGAATCAAACATCTTGTATTAACATTGAATTTTATTTGTGTTTCTATTAGTTTCTTCTATGCTTATTTTTACCAAGCCAAATTTTCGCAAGTCACATTTTTCTTGCTTTTTTATTTTTATTTTTCCGAGACAGAGTCTCACTCTGTTGCCTGGGCTAGAGTGCTGTGGTATCAGCCTAGTTCACAGCAACCTCAAACTCCTGGGCTTAAGCAATCCTCCTGCCTCAGCCTCCTGAGTAGCTGGGACTACAGGCATGCGCCACCATGCCCAGCTAATTTTTTCTATATATTTTTAGTTGGCCAATTAATTTCTTTGTATTTTTAGTAGAGACGGGGGTCTCGCTCTAGCTCAGGCTGGTTTCGAACTCCTAACCTTGAGTAATCCGCCCGCCTCAGCCTCCCAGAGTGCTAGGATTACAGGCATGAGTCACATGAAGTCACATTTTTCAACTCTTAATTTTTCTAAAATGATATCAATCTTCTGTCAATTTTTAGACAGTAACCAATCTTATGTTTCGTGTTTCCTGTTTTCACTTTTATTATTTTCTTATATATTTCAGCATTGTCCAACATTTATGGATTTCATTGTTAACCAACAAAAGATATAAGGAAGAGCGATACATGAGCTAGGCATACAGCAGTCAAAAATGTCTAGCCTCATTCAGTGAGGTCTTTCAATTTCCCAAGAAGCTGAATGTGTTGAGGAAGCAATGTATCTTACATTTAGTGACTTGGCACTATTTATCAGGAAGATAAACAGTGGTGGAGGTGGGTGGTGGTGTAGTTTGTATTTCCTATTAAACCTGCCTGGATATGGAAAAGTAATTCAGAAGAGCTCCTCATTTAGGTATATTTTAGGCCTTTTCTGATTTTACTGCCTTTATGCTTAGGGGCGCCTCATCCCAGGTGCATACAAGTTTGATGCCCTGATCACTACTTTTGAGATGATTTTGTCAGACTGTCCTGAGCTTCGGGAGATTGAATGGCGTTGTGTCATCATTGATGAGGCCCATCGACTTAAGAACCGTAATTGCAAGCTACTTGATAGTCTCAAACACATGGACCTGGTGAGTTCCATGCTGACTTTTGGGTAGAAACAATTGGGATTAACCCAGTTTAGCTGAGAAGAAAAAAAGAATTAGAATCTTGGTATTGAATGGTGAATATGGCGTATGGGAATGGTAACCTGAAAGTCACGTAAAAGTTGTAAATTTTACAATTGGAAAAGTATTATAGTTTGGTGGTTCTCAACCAAGAGGATAGGTGGGAAACTATTAGTGTGTAAAAAATACTCCCAAACTAGGATCTCAGCTGGGTGTAGTGGCTCACGCCTCTAACCCTAATACTCTGGAAGGCCAAGGCAGGAGGATTGCTTGAACTCAGGAGTTTGAGATGAGCCTGAGCAAGAAGAGAGCCCCATCTCTACTAAAAATAGAAAAAAATTAGCTGGGTGTGGTGGCACACACCTGTAGTCCCAGCTATTTGGGAGGCTGAGTTAGGAGAATCACTTGAGCCCAGGGTTTGAGGTTGCTGTGAGCTAGGCTGATGCCACAGCACTCTAGCCTGGGCAACAGAGTAAGGCACTGTCTCAAAAAAAAAGCCAACTAGGATCACTTGAGCCCAACAGTTTGAAGCTGCTGTGAGCTGTGATCATGTCACTGCACTCCAGCCTGGGTGACAAGAGTGAGACCCTATCTCCAAGAAAACAAACAAAAAAAAAAAACTCCAAAATTTAGTGGCTTAAAGCAACAACTACATTTTTTATGTTTCTCTAGTTCTGCCACTTAGGCTGGGCTCAGTTAGGCTATTGTTTTTTGTGGTCTTGCCTGGTGTCATTAATGCTGCTCCAGCTGGGAATTGCTGTTGATTGTTGGCTGGGGCTCCTGGGTTATCTTCCACATTACCACATGACCTCTCATCCTCCAATAGGCCAAACTGGGCTTTATATGGTAGTCTTAGGGCAGTGTTCCAAGAGAGCAAAAGTAGAAAATGCAAGGTCTTTGAGGTAGGCTCTGAAACTCACACAGTATCTCACTTCTGCTACATTCTCTTTGTCAGAGCAAGTCTCAAGACAAGCCTAGATTCAAGGGTGAACCTTGATTGGAGGAACTACAAAGAATTAGTGGCCTTATTCAATCCAGCACAGTTATATTCCCTAGAGAAGGGCAGATTAGGATATCTATAGGGAGTTGAATGTGGAAAGACATATGTAATTGTAAAAAAGCATAATCTGAATTACTATTTTTTCTTCAAAACCAATATACAACAGGATGAATTACTATTTTTTAATTGATTATAATATTTAAGTTATTTCAATATGTTAAGTGATGTAAGAATTTCTTGAATCATTTTTGTTTATCAAAAGAGGGAGCAAGTAAAAGAAACATTAAAATAATACTGTGATCCATTCCCATCATTTTCTAGATAAAGAATTTAAAAATTACTTTAAAAATTATATACTTGATAAAAAAACCCAGAAGTTTTTTGTGTGTTTGAATTTTTCATCCTTCTGTTTCCTTTATTTCTAGGAACACAAAGTGCTACTAACAGGAACACCTTTGCAAAATACTGTGGAGGAACTGTTTAGTTTGCTTCATTTCTTGGAACCTTCACAGTTTCCCTCAGAATCAGAATTCCTCAAGGACTTCGGGGATCTCAAAACAGAGGAACAGGTAGGAAATTTATCTGATGAGGTAATAACTTAGGACGAAATGGTAAAAGTTTGTACAAGGCAGACATCTGTTGCCATAGGCATGAAGGGCTTTTCTGAACTTTTTATAACCTTGTGCCTACATCATCTATAGCATCATCCAAAATCTACCTTTCTTAGATACTGGAAAATTCTAATATTTTATATTTTCATGTTTCTACAAAATGTGAAAATGTTTGCCCTGTGTTATTGATTTCTTTTTCTCTCTGTAATGGACCACAGGTTCAAAAGCTACAGGCTATTCTCAAGCCAATGATGCTAAGAAGACTCAAAGAGGATGTTGAAAAAAACTTGGCACCCAAACAGGAAACTATTATTGAAGTAGAGCTGACTAACATCCAGAAGAAATACTATCGGGCTATTTTGGAGAAGAATTTCTCCTTCCTTTCCAAAGGGGCAGGTCATACCAACATGCCTAATCTACTCAACACAATGATGGAGTTGCGCAAGTGCTGCAACCACCCATATCTCATCAATGGTGAGGGAATTCCTGGAAAATACCTGAACTTCTGTATTACCTGCGTTTATTTTCTAAATTCCTCGAGGACAGTCAATGCCTTGATTGATCTAACCTAACTTGGGGGTGGGAACTACGAGTGGGGAAGGGTCCTCCTTTTAAAAAAAAAGATTTATTTGTGGATGTCTTTCTCTAGTTCTTTCTACTCCCTTGATCCTGCATAATCTCCAAAATTAAATAGAATTTGCTGTTTAGAATTTCATGAATAAGAACTCAGGGATGCAGCTACTCAGGAGGCTGAGGTGAGAGGATCGTTTGAGCCTAGGAATTCAAGACCAGCCTGGGTGATATAGCAAGACCCCATCTCTAAAAATAAATATGAAAAAGAATTCAGATTATTCAGTTCTCTGGATAAATGTCCTCACTGATACTCCATTTTGCTCTATCTTTTTTGGGTGTTGGTAGAGTGGTAATAGTGAATTGTATGTTCTATCTTAGTCCTTGTCCACATATTTACATATATTTTACTTAGTTATCAGAGGACCACCTTACTTGGGGTATTTTATATAACACAATTGAAGATAATTTTAGGATATTTTAGTGCTGAAATCCTGTGAGAGATGTTGATCTCAAATCAGATTACTGGTTTTTTGTTTTTGTTTTTTGGGTGGGGGGGGGTTGGCTTTCTTATCTCAATTTAATAGACAGCCTTAATATATTTCACTGGATTTCAACAACAAGTTTGATTTTTTTTTTTTTTTTTTGGCAGGTGCAGAAGAAAAAATCCTAACAGAATTTCGGGAAGCTTGCCACATTATACCTCATGACTTCCACCTGCAGGCCATGGTTCGTTCAGCTGGCAAATTGGTTCTTATTGACAAGTTACTTCCAAAGCTTAAAGCTGGTGGCCATAAAGTTCTGATCTTCTCCCAGATGGTACGCTGCCTAGATATCCTAGAGGATTATCTAATCCAGAGGAGGTGAGAAAAGGAATCATACTAATCTTGTGGTTACTGTATCCTCATAAAGCAGCAAAAAGTAGGAAGGCCCAGAAAGTCCTGGGTTTAATTAGGGTTGACCAGTTGTAATAAGAGAAGTGTATTTAAGACTTAGTCTCAACTTTTTTATGTTTCTTGGCCTGGTAAGGATATGGGGTACTGGTATTGATCCTAGCCTGCTTTTTTGGTCTCCTCCTCTGCTTAGCCACTTAAATTTTTTCTGTTGACTTCCATACAGGTACTTATATGAACGTATTGATGGGCGAGTTAGAGGCAACCTTCGACAGGCTGCTATTGACCGCTTCAGCAAACCTGATTCAGACCGCTTTGTCTTCCTGCTGTGCACCCGGGCTGGTGGACTTGGTATTAATCTTACAGCTGCTGATACATGCATCATCTTTGATTCAGACTGGAATCCACAAAATGACCTGCAGGTAAAGGAAATTATTCTCTTAGGGCTTAACTACCTAACCTGAGAGGTTTTTCAACAAGATCAGGATCTCTTGGAAAGACCTTTCAGGGAGTATGGAATTGTTTACTCAATTAGGAGTAGCAGTTAGGTTAGGGATCAGTGAATTTTTTTCTGTAAAGAACCATATAGTAAACGTTTTAGGCTTTGTGGACCATATGGTCTTTCTTGCTCTCTACTCACCTCTACTGTAGCACAAAAGCAGCCATAGATAATAGGTAAATGAACAGGCAAGGCATTTACAAAACTGATGTCCACGAAGACAACCAAGGGTTTGCTGACCCTTGGTTTATATGGTGGGGCAATAAATTCAACTTGAAATTGACTTTAGATTTTGAATTGATCTCATGACTGCTTCAGAGATGTTTACAATTGTGAATTGGTATTTTGTGTCTCCTTGCCCTTCCCCCCACTTATGTTATTTTTTTCTTTAAAAAAAAAAAAAACAGGCCCAGGCACGGTGTCATCGAATTGGGCAGAGCAAAGCTGTGAAGGTGTACCGTCTAATCACTCGTAATTCCTATGAGAGAGAGATGTTTGATAAGGCTAGCCTCAAGTTGGGATTGGATAAGGCTGTGCTTCAGTCCATGAGTGGTCGGGATGGCAACATTACTGGAGTGAGTCTTCTTAGTCTATGGATAAGTTTATAGTGGACCGTAGTGATGGAGACAAAAGTTATTTTTGCACAGGAATCTGACTACCATGTTTGCATTCTTAATTATTTCTTATAATAACTAAAGTATTATGGCATGGTTAGGTAATATTCTCTTAATAGTCTTTTTATCTTTCTTTTTATTTTCTTTGAGACACAGTCTCACTCTGTCGCCCTGGCTGGTGTTGTCATCATAGCTCACTGCAACTCCTGACCTTAAGTGATCCTCCTGCCTCAGCCTCCCAGAGTGCTAGGATTACAGGCATGAGCCACCGCACCCAGCCTTCTTATCTTTGTGTTGGTTTTTGCAGATCCAACAATTCTCCAAGAAGGAGATTGAAGATCTCTTAAGAAAAGGAGCATATGCAGCCATAATGGAGGAAGATGATGAGGGCTCCAAGTTTTGTGAAGAGGACATTGACCAGATCTTGTTAAGACGAACTACAACCATCACCATTGAATCTGAAGGAAAAGGTTCTACCTTTGCCAAGGTATGTTCTGTCTGTGCTAGGGACTAGAAAAGCAGAGATAGAGACAGGAATCTCTATGATTTAAATATGTTTTTAAAATGTGGTTGCTTGATTTCACATTGCTGAAAAAATTATTATAGCAACTTTACTTTGCCTTTGTTCCTCACTAGGCAAGCTTTGTTGCTTCTGAAAATAGGACAGATATTTCTCTGGATGATCCTAACTTTTGGCAAAAGTGGGCCAAAAAGGCTGACCTAGACATGGATCTTCTCAATAGCAAGGTGAGCTTACTCTTTCTTTAAAGAGGAAATATTCCAGAAGACACACTACTTTCAGTGGTTTTTATAGCTATTCTGATTCTTTGATGCTAATTGCAGTTTATGATAATGTTTTATATACAAGGGCTGTTGCAAAAACTTTCTACCTAGAGAGGCCCAGAAAAATATCTACATGTCTCCTACCTTATTCTACTTCCTGAGTCCCTGTCAATTATTTTACATGTTATAAAAGAAAAATCTCCCTTTGGGTATCTACATATGTTACATCCATGGCTGTTTTAATTCTTAAATGTCTTATTCTTTTTCCATGAGCAAAACATAAAGAGAGTTACTCTGTTCTCTACATAGAACAACTTGGTGATTGACACACCTAGAGTACGAAAACAGACCCGCCACTTCAGCACCCTGAAAGATGATGACTTGGTAGAATTCTCTGATTTGGAAAGTGAGGATGATGAGCGGCCACGCTCCCGCAGACATGACCGTCATCATGCCTATGGACGCACTGACTGCTTTCGGGTAGAAAAGCACCTCCTGGTATATGGGTAAGAACTCACCTTGCCGTGAGAGAGAGTGCATCTCCATCCTATTAGACACCCTATTTGCCTTTCAGATTGGAAGCAATGACCAAAGAAGGGATAATGTGAAAAATGTTTGCCTTGGAGGGAGTTGATTCTATTTATTCTGTTACTATGTTTTTCAAAGTCTTTTTCTCTCACCCTTTTTGAGGAGATGTGATTCCAGGGAGCAGGAGAGTATAATGGAATTAGAATTCCCAGGAAAATATTAATATAGTTTCCTTTTTGTTGTTTTAGTTGGGGACGATGGCGAGATATTTTATCTCATGGACGATTCAAGCGACGTATGACTGAACGAGATGTGGAGACAATTTGCCGGGCTATCCTTGTGTACTGTCTTTTACACTACCGGGGGGATGAAAATATCAAAGGTTTCATCTGGGACTTGATTAGCCCTGCTGAAAATGGCAAGACAAAAGAATTGCAGAATCATTCAGGTAATTATCAACTCTTTACTTTTTTATCTTTCTATAGGTTATCTAATCCTTTTCAGGTCCAAGGGTTTTTCTCAATCCAAGTCTTCAATGTCCCCCCTTTCCCAGGTCTGTCTATCCCTGTGCCCCGTGGACGCAAGGGGAAAAAAGTAAAGTCACAAAGCACTTTTGATATCCATAAGGCTGATTGGATCCGGAAATATAACCCTGACACTTTGTTCCAAGATGAGAGTTATAAGAAGCACTTGAAACATCAGTGTAATAAGTAAGGATGAAATTTAGTGAAGAAGAAAACATTTTTCACCTCGAACTTTGTACACTGTTATTAATGAGCCAGCTCTTATTCCCTCCTTTCTAGGGTATTGTTGCGGGTAAGAATGCTATACTACCTGAGGCAAGAGGTTATTGGAGACCAGGCAGAGAAGGTGTTAGGGGGTGCCATTGCCAGGTAAAGTTCTATATATTTTTTTATACCCTGCCTTATTCCAGGGATGATTAGTCTACTTATTTCATTCTATACTATCTTTGGGATACCTGATAATTTGAATCTATATATCAGGTCTTTAATCCTATACTTGACACTAGTGAAAGGAAATAGTGCAAGATGCATGAGTGTTTTAAATTAATGGATAAGGGAGGCTACCTGTAGTAATCTTTGGAAAGATTCTAACTTTAATTTCCTGCATTGCTGAGCTGACCGTGCCCTCTTGTACCTTTAGTGAGATTGACATATGGTTCCCAGTAGTGGATCAGCTGGAGGTTCCAACAGCCTGGTGGGACAGTGAGGCTGACAAGTCCCTCCTCATTGGAGTCTTTAAGCATGGTAGGTACTTTGTAGCTTATTTCTTCTCTACTAAAGATTTATGTCCACAGATGGAGCATTTAGCAAAATGCTCATGAGAAATAACTGAATTCTTTGATTGCTCTTTAATAAATTTATGACTGAATAGGAAACTAGTTCTTAAATGTCCAGAGCAGAGTCATTAGTTTCTATAAATAGATGTTCAAGAAAGACCAGATGGATAGGTAAGTCTCAAGGTAGGGAGCCTCCCATCTGTTCTCTAATTACAGTTACCAGTATGTTACTATACTGTGTGTTAAGGGGTCTAAGTTAGAGTCCCACAAATAAGGGAGGTAATATAAACCCATTCATGTTATTAATAACCACACTTAATTTGTTTAGCTTTCCTATCGCTTGCAGAAAGTGTTTTATTTATCTATATGTCCCATTTGTGTAAATGTTCAGTTGTCACTCTGATGTAGGTGTGAGCAGCAGTGTTTGAGTGAAACAAAAATAAAGCAAAAAAGGGAGACTGACTAGACCAAAAAAAAAAAAGGCGAGGAGAGAATACTCCCTTTGCAGTTTTGCCTGAACCAAATCCCAGGCACTAAAAGCAGTGAGCATTAACTTTCAGCCCAGTGACTTGGGGAATTGAAATTTCTTTTTTTAAAAATAGTTTTCTATTTTTATAATATAAAAGTAATGGCACTTAATCTGCATGTTTTTAAGAAGCTTAATGGGATAACAAAAACTGTGAACATTTGTAGCCTTGTATTTGCTGTGAGACACATAGGTTTAGAAGAGTCCAAACATCTCCGGAGTGTATTCATCCATTCATTTATTCAGTGTTCATCACATATTCACTGAGTGCATATTAACTTGCAGGTACAAGTTTCTTGTCCTTTATTTGAGAATGTGTGATCTGCCACTAAATTATTTGACTTGAGTTTTTATATCTATAAGAATTATAAAAAGATAACCAGTTAAATGGCTATGTAAATCTGTCACCATAGTATATAAATTCTTTTTTTTTTCTTTTACACGTTACTGAGAACTTTAAAGTATATAAGTTCTTTAAATTCCTACGGTCAGTAACTAGTTAAAAACTCATGACTCTAAATTGCTATAACAAATGGGCAGATGCAGTGATTCATGCCTGTAATTCCAACACTTTTGGAGGCCAAGACAGGAAGATCACTTAAGCCAGAAGTTTGAGACCAGCCTGGGCAACATAACAAGACCCCATCTCTAAAAAAAAATAAAAACTAGCCAGGCATGGTGCTATAGTCCTAGCCACTTGGGAAACTGAGGCAGGAAAATCGAGGTTACAGTAAGCTATGATCATGCCACTGTACTTTAGCCTGGGCAACAGATTGAGACCCTGTCTCTAAAAAAATTGAATAAAATAAAAAATTGTTATAAAAAGTGTTAAATATAGTAATGTAACCCAATAGCTATTTTGCATTATGAGCAAAGTAGCCTATATGTTCTAATTATCTAAAGGCACAACAAATCTCTCATTGTCTTCAACTCTGGCCCTGTTTCTTCTAGGCTATGAGAAATATAATACTATGAGAGCAGACCCAGCCTTATGCTTCCTGGAAAAGGCTGGTCGACCAGATGATAAAGCCATTGCAGCAGAACATCGAGTGTTAGATAATTTCTCTGACATAGTTGAAGGGTAAGCATTGGTGTTTAGTTCTTTTAAAGCTCTGAGTCCACCCGGTAAAGGCCACTAGTTGCTTGTGCTATGAGATAACATAACTCTAGCCTCGACTTAACTACCCATAATGGTAGTTATACTCATGAATGGTAAATCCTTAACAAAAAGTAGTACCAGCATAAAGCATTCCAAAAACTGGCCTAAACTACACATTGCTATAAGATGCAACTGTGTGAAAATTAATGTTTCCAAATGCTTGTTTGATATTCTATTCAATTTGCTTTACAACACTGTTCTATATGGCTACAATAGCTGAGAAGATAACTGGTTCTCTTAAAAGATAACAGCCAGGCAACTCTCACGTGTTGCTTATGTGGTAGAGCCTCAGGTACTTTTAGCTCTGGTTTATTATTTCCCAATAGTATCTGACACATAAAGGCATTTACTTTGCCTGGGTACATGTCCCAATGATGAGTTGCCATGCTAATACTGAGACACCAGGGTAGGGCAGTGTTGCCCTAGTTTGGGTGCCAGTGAGTTTAACAAAACTTCTCACGTGGAGACCTGAGGGGCATGTGAAATAATTGGCTTAGTTAATAAATACCTACTCATTCCTTCATGACTGAGAGATTTCTCTTTGATAGTCAACAACTTCAATTTGCTTAATGTAGGGCCCTCAAAGGAAATTCAAACATTTATTCACTGCAAATCATTTATTATGTCACCCTTCTGCTCAGTAGAGAAAAGTAGTAAAAAAAAAAGCATGAACCATTCAAATGAAATAATAAAAAGTAAATAAATAGTTGGGGAGGAAGGAGAGAATGGGTTAAACAAGAAAAAAGGCTATCAATGGAAAGAAAGTGTGCTAATCAAAGTGTTTCATTTAAAATTCAAGCAATTCTGAGTGGTGTGTTGTCAATTTCTCATAATTTTTTTTTTTTCCTGTTTGATGAACTGACTCAAAGCTTTGCACCTGGCCTGCCATTCCTGTGAGCTTGAAATTTAAGTCTATTCCATGCTAGGTTGTACATTTGGCCAGGTCTTCATCCTAAGTTCCTCCTGTGATTGAAGATACATTATTAATGTTTTCTTGTGCCTCTGGATAATTTTAGGGTTGACTTTGATAAAGATTGTGAAGATCCTGAATATAAACCACTGCAGGGTCCCCCGAAGGACCAAGATGATGAGGTAAGGAATTCCATTTGAGTCTAACTTTTTTCTTTTTTTTTTTGAGACAGAGTCTTGCTTTGTTGCCCAGGCTAGAGTGAGCGCCATGGCGTCAGACTAGCTCACAGCAACCTCAAACTCCTGGGCTCAAGCAATCCTGCTGCCTCGATCCTCCCAAGTAGCTGGGACTACAGGCATGCACCACCATGCCCAGCGAATTTTTTCTATATATATTAGTTGGCCAATTAATTTCTTTCTATTAATAGTAGCGACAGGGTCTCGCTCTTTCTCAGGCTGGTTTCAAATTCCTGACCTCGAGCATTCTGCCTGCCTCGGCCTCCCAGAGTGCTAGGATTACAGGCGTGAGCCACTGGGCCCGGCCTGAGTCTAACTTTTTTCTATTAATAGTTAAGTCTTCTCCCATTCTCTGAATCTTGAAATATATTGATTAAATTTATAATAGAAAATGAGAATGGAAAGTATTAATGGAAAGGAGTGTAACACCAACTGGGGGAGATCAGGGATGACTTTGTTGAGAAGGTGGGACCCAAGCTGGACATTGAAAGGTATTATTTGACTAATAAATTCCTGAGTCCCATTATTTTTGAGCCGTTATTAAGAACTGACTTTTTAGGTTCTACTTTCTTGTTCTTCTTTTAGTTGGTTGCTTCCACATTTTTGTGAGAGTTCCTTTCATTAGAAATTTTTCTTGATCCCTTGGTGCCATAGGACACACACAAGAAAGTGATTTCAGAGTGCCAACTTCCCCCCCTTTCCCTCCCCCCTCCATCCTATTGGGTGGATCTCCTTCTCTAGGGTGATCCCTTGATGATGATGGATGAGGAGATCTCAGTGATTGATGGAGATGAAGGTAAACTTCTAGGTCAACTAGTACAATTTTGTGTGGGGTGGTGGGGTTGGGGAATTATTCACTGAGTTCTATTCTGGGATTTCTAAGAGCTTTGCCTTTGGGTGGGTTGAAGTACTAGTATTATCTCTACTACCCTTTCTATGCTTTCTATTCATTCTACTTTGTTTTCCACAGCCCAGGTGACCCAACAGCCAGGCCATCTCTTCTGGCCTCCAGGCTCTGCCCTAACAGCTAGGCTTCGGCGCCTGGTAACAGCCTATCAGCGTAGCTACAAGAGGGAACAGATGAAGATAGAGGCTGCAGAACGTGGGGACCGGCGAAGGCGGCGTTGTGAAGCAGCCTTCAAACTCAAAGAAATTGCACGGCGGGAAAAACAACAACGGTAAAATATAGCTGGGAATTTGGGCTGAGCTATTTTGTGTCTTCAGCTGTGGGCCCTGTACTAAAAAGCATCTTAAGAAGGATTTATTTGGAATGCCCTACAGAAGGACCATCTTTTCTGCCTTGAATTGTTACACCCCTAAGACTTAAAACCTCACTTGTGTGCGATAATCATAACTCCTGGGTAGATCTTCTGTGTAGACATTCTCATTATTATTTACCTGCATCATTTTCCCCCTTGGCTTGGTAATTCTTACTTGTTATGTAGTATCTCTGACTGCCTTTCTGGGCTTTTTTTTTTTTTTTTTTTTTTTGCCTCTATGATATTCTAAACCACATTAAGAAGTAACCGGTTTTCCTATGTTGTTCTGATGACTTTTATCTTATTGTTCTTCCTTTTGTAGATGGACAAGGCGTGAACAAACTGATTTCTATCGTGTTGTGTCTACTTTTGGTGTGGAATATGACCCTGACACCATGCAGTTCCATTGGGATCGCTTCCGCACTTTTGCTCGACTGGACAAAAAAACAGATGAAAGCCTTACCAAGTATTTTCATGGCTTTGTGGCCATGTGCCGTCAGGTCTGCCGCCTTCCCCCAGCAGCTGGAGATGGTAAGAAAGACTGTGGAAAGTCTAGGGTGAGTGGGGATGGATGGTGACAAAACTAACTCTTGGTTCATTTCTCTTCTGCTCCTGCAGAACCCCCAGACCCTAATCTGTTCATTGAGCCCATCACTGAGGAGAGGGCCTCACGGACTCTCTACCGTATTGAATTGCTGCGGCGCTTACGGGAGCAAGTTTTATGCCACCCCCTTTTGGAAGATCGGCTGGCATTGTGTCAGCCTCCAGGTCCTGAATTGCCCAAATGGTGGGAGCCTGTTCGGCATGATGGGGAGCTTCTACGAGGGGCAGCCCGTCATGGGGTGAGCCAAACAGACTGCAACATCATGCAGGACCCAGACTTCTCTTTTCTGGCTGCCCGTATGAATTATATGCAGAACCATCAGGCAGGAGCACCAGCTCCGTCCCTGTCACGCTGCTCTACTCCACTGCTACACCAGCAGTATACCTCGCGCACTGCCTCACCATTGCCCCTTCGCCCAGACGCTCCTGTTGAAAAGTCACCTGAGGAGACAGCTGCCCAGGTCCCCGGTCTGGAGAGTCTAACTTTAAAGCTAGAGCATGAGGTGGTGGCCAGGAGCCGACCAACCCCACAAGACTATGAGATGCGAGTAGTCCCCTCTGAAACTACCCCTCTGGTTTCCCGGAGTGTTCCACCAGTCAAACTGGAGGATGAGGATGATTCAGACTCCGAGCTGGACTTGAGCAAGCTGTCACCATCATCTTCTTCTTCCTCATCCTCATCCAGCTCCAGCTCCAGCACTGATGAGAGTGAGGACGAGAAGGAAGAAAAGCTAAGTGAGTGCATGTGATAGGCTGTTGGCCCTTGTCCCCATTTCCCTCCTCTCTGCTCTTTTCCTTTTCTAAATGCATCCTCTTGACGAGATTCAGATTTTGACTTGATAAAATGTCAAAAGAGACCTATTATCCTTTGGGCCTTTATTCAGAGCCCATATAATTACATTACCATATAACATTATTCTTCCATCTTTTCTCACACTTTGTGTGGGATCTCCAGCTGCTGACCGGTCCCGCTCAAAGCTCTATGATGAAGAGAGTCTCCTGTCTCTCACCATGTCCCAAGATGGATTCCCAAATGAAGATGGAGAACAGATGACTCCTGAGCTGCTGCTGCTGCAGGAAAGACAAAGAGCTTCTGAGTGGCCCAAGGTAACAGCCTCATTCCTAGACTTGTAGAGTCCAGAAATACAATGTAACATTATCTACAGGGAAGAAGGAACAGATGGTTCTGTTTTTTATTTTAAATTGTGTTTACTCCTACATGTTTTTTCATAAAAATTCCCAGTTGATCTAGGGATCTAATAGTATTACCTCCTTCCTTTCTGTCTTATGAGTTTTACCCATCTTAGTAATGATGACATTAAGTCATAGGATCAGGTAGCTAGTGCTTAGTTCCTTAAAATCCTATTTATTTCTTTTTTCCCCACTCAGGATCGTGTCCTGATAAACCGCATTGACCTCGTCTGCCAGGCTGTACTCTCAGGGAAGTGGCCTTCTAGCCGCAGGAACCAGGAAATGATAACAGGAGGGGTCTTGGGGCCAGGCAACCACTTGCTAGACAGTCCCTCATTGACGCCTGGAGAATATGGTGACTCTCCAGTCCCTACACCTCGAAGTAGCAGTGCAGCTTCCATGGCAGAGGAGGAAGCGTCTGCAGTCACCACAGCAGCAGCCCAGTTCACCAAACTTCGCCGAGGCATGGATGAGAAGGAGTTTACAGTTCAGATCAAAGATGTAAGTTCAGTGTTTGTTTAGGCACTGGGAAGTGGGAATGAGGTTATAGTCCTTGCTAACTAATAGGATACTAAACTCATTTGGTTAATTTTTAAAATGAGAGGAGAAAAAAAATTAGAGCTCACAAACATCCATTTAGGAAAAGTCACTGAAGAAAGGGAAGGAATCTCCTGAGGACTAGATTAAAAGAAACTTTATTTTCAAAGGAAATTTAAATGACACAAGGCTTTTGGGTGGCTTAATTCTGGATCTAAGCCTGATTTTTAAAAAAATGAAATCAGATTATGGGGAAGCTGTTAAAAATGACACCTAAGTATTGTGGGCTTTATTAAGTTAAAAATTAGAGGAACCATTTCCACTGAAATTAAATCAGTATTATTTTTTTTTTTTTTTATTATGATGCAACATGCTAGGAAGTATTTTTTGTTTTGTAGATGGAAATTTTTATTTTTCCTGATCTCCTTCCCTGTTAAACCCTATTAGCTAGTCATTAAGTACTCAAAGAAAGAAAAGTTTCTTAAATTAGTATGTGACAGAAAGGAGTATTCTGCCCCTGTGATGAGTTGCCATGCTAATACTGAGACACTAGGTAGGGAGTTTTACCCTGCATTGGGTGTTGTTGAGATAAACTCTACTTCTCCTAAATCTACCTGAGGGGCTCTAAGTTAACAAATGAAATCTTTCTAGGGAAAAAAATATATAAGTTTCACTGTATTTCTAATTTCCACCCTTCAGTCAGATAGCCTTCTTACTATCATTGTGCCAGAGGATGAACCCATAGCTCAAGTCCCCCAAAGCTTTATCTTTACTTGTAATAACATATGCTATGTGATGTCTTGGGTGGGTGGATTGTCTTCCCAGGAGGAAGGATTGAAGTTAACATTCCAGAAGCACAAGTTGATGGCTAATGGAGTAATGGGAGATGGACATCCACTATTTCATAAGAAGAAGGGGAACAGAAAGAAGGTAGTAGAGGTGAGTGGTAAGGAAAGTCTTTAACATGATGACTAGATGAGGTCTTTTTATTCCCAGTAATTGATAAAGGTAGTTGGGATTGAGGGAAGAAAGATATTAGAGTTATCTCATGACTACCATTGGCTCTGCTCCCCCTCCCTCCCTGCTCCAAGAAGAGTATGTGCTCATGGGGGTGGATTCTGGGTTTGCAGCTGGAGGTGGAGTGCATGGAAGAGCCTAATCACCTTGACGTGGACCTGGAGACCCGGATACCTGTCATCAATAAGGTGGATGGTACTTTGCTGGTGGGTGAGGATGCCCCTCGCCGGGCTGAACTGGAGATGTGGTTACAGGGTCATCCAGAGTTTGCTGTCGATCCCCGATTCCTAGCGGTGAGTGGCAGTCCCATTCAGCAAGATGTAAAGTTGTTCCCCCTGGTATTTTAGCTATGTAAAAGGGGAAGAGCATGCCTTATTATATCATTATTTCTGCATCTGCAAAATCAGAGTAATAATACCCATCTGCCTACCTCACAGAATTGTTGCAAGGATCAAAATAAAATAATGTTAAAATAAAATACTATTGAAGTATTTCTTAAACTAAATGCTAGGCCAATATTTGCTATTAAACTATTATACAAACCACCTAATTTTTATGTAGAAATCTGGAAATCTGCTTGATGGCAGTTTTCCACTAGGACTAATCCTTTATGCAGTAAACATTTATTTGTCAAACAAAGGACACCTAAATAATTACTCCAGAGAAGATTTCTATTCCTCTCAGATAACTGATACTTTTCTATTACAGTATATGGAGGATCGCAGAAAACAGAAGTGGCAGAGATGTAAAAAAAATAATAAGGCAGAATTGAATTGTTTGGGAATTGAACCAGTACAGACAGCTAACTCTAGGAATGGAAAAAAGGTGAGTAAGACTGAAGCATTACTACTGTGTTCCCCCACTAGATGCGATAATACAAAGCTCTCAATGATGATTTTGACTAATGTTATTTATCTTTTTTCCAGTGTATGTTTCTGAGAAAAATTATCTTCATCATAAGGAAACTAGAGTTGTTTTTGTTGTTTTTGTTTTGTTTTTAAGACATGGTCTCACTCTGTCACCAAGGCTGGAGTGCAGTGTCATGATCATTGGCTCACTGTAACCTCAAACTCCTGAGCTCAAGCTTTCCTGCTTCACCTTCCTGAGTAGCTAGGACTATAGGCGTGAGCCACCATGCCCAGCTAATTTTTATAAATTTTTTGTGGAAACCAGGTCTTGCTATGTTGGCCAGGCTGGTCTCAAACTCCTGGTCTCAAGCAGTCCTCCTGCCTTGGGGATCACAGGTATGAGCCACTGTGCTTGGCCAACCAGAGGATTTTTTTTAAGCACCAAAGTTTTTTTGAATCACCACCAGAGCATTTTTAATGATATTTTTACAGTATTTTGGTATCTTCATCTCTAGAAGAGCATAAAATTCTAAAAACTAACTTTAGTACTTTAAGCTAATGAAAATAAAAGAATTAGTAAGATTTGTTAGGAAGAACATTTAGGGCTTATCCTGCTCTTCTATTGAATAAGGAATTTTTGGCAATCCTTTAACCTCTTTAATTTTCACATCCCGAATAGTGGGAGTTTTACTGTCATCTCTTAAGTTTTAAAATTCTATATATTTTAGGATTGATTGTGGGGGTGTACTAAAGAAAACAGTCATGGGCTGTCCCTATATATGAGAGGTTAAAAATCACTAATATGTCAATGATGGAAAAAGCACAAGAAGCCATGTTTTATAATTTATAATAACAAATTTAGTCATTAGGTTATTCCATATTTTCAAATGTAATTGTGCTTTTATAATGGCTATAGACCATTTGGTGGATTAAATACCCATTGTTTCTTCTTTTTTATTTTGAGACAGAGTCTCACTCTGTTGCCTGGGCTAGGGTGCTGTGGTGTCAGCCTAGCTCATAACAACCTCAAACTCTTGGGCTCAAGCAATCCTCCTGCCTCAGCCTCCCGAGTAGCTGGGACTATAGGCATGCACCACCATGCCTGGCTAATTTTTCTATATATTTTTAGTTGTCCAGCTAATTTGTTTCTATTTTTAGTAGAGACAGGGTCTCGCTCTTGCTCAGGCTGGTCTCAAACTCCTGAGCTCAAACAATCTACCTGCCTCTGCCTCCCAGAGTGCTAGGATTACAGGCATGAGCCACCTCCCCCAGCCCCATTGTTTCTTATTTCCACCCAAATATAACTACAAAAGTTTCTCTTGGCTATGCTTGCCTTATTCTGTGCAAGAGTTGTATTTTTTAAGCATATGTAAATCACAGTTTGGTTTAGTAGTCATTTAAAATGGGTTAGCACTTTTGTATACCAGCTTTATCTAATTATTCCTCACTTGATCTTTTATGTAAATCGTTTATATATATATATATATAGTTATCTCTCAGTATACACAGGGTATTGGTTCCAGGACCCCCCAGATACCAAAATCCGTGGATGGTCAAGCCCATGATATAAAATGGTGTTGTATTTTCATATAATCTACACATATCCTCCCATATATTTTAAATCATCTATAGATTACTTATAATACCTAATACAATAGATACTATGTAAATAGTTTTTAAATTATTTTTATATTTGTATTATTTTTCATTATTGGTTGTTTTTTTTTTTCTTAATGTTTTTTGTTTTTGAATATTTTCAACCTGTGGATGGTTAAATCCATGGATGTGGAACCTGTGGATATGGAAGGCCACATATATATATATATACACACACCCACATATACATATTTGTGTGTGTATGTAACCACATGGTATCTCTAATAATACCTAGCTTTTGCATTTAACAAGTTCTAAGCATATAAAATACATATAGGTTTATGAGGTTTATTATTTTATGTTGGTCAAAGTGTTACCATGGAAGAAAGTTTCAATTTTCTCTCTTAGCCTCCATGAGACCTAGAGTATAATAAGCAGAATGGTTGATATGGGAAAGGCTGATGCCATCTCTGCTTGAATTTAACATAGAGCAGCTATCCACTGTACTTATTTTTACCTCAAGTACTTTTGCTAATCTCTTACTGTCAGTTGAAACTCTTAAAGAAAGGAAGAATCATAGAAAATGATAACAAGTACACAATTCTAAATACAGAATTGACAATAAATCTAGCACTACTTTATTACTAGGACCTGCAGGAGTTTAGGTGTTATTACAGTTATATTTGTCCATACAAACAGTGTATTAAGATGTTTGTTTTTCCAAGTCAAAAAGACATGTTCCCATGTTAGGTGTTAGGCTTAGACTGGGAAATAGAGTACTGAGACACAAGTACCAATTGTATGAGTTTAATGGCAACTACCCACTATTGTGCTTAGGCCAGTACCAAAGCAGAGGTACTAAAAGTAGTAACTTCCAGCTTCAATGAACTTAATTAGAACTTGTAGTCAGAATATCTAGAAGAAGCCATTTAACATTCAGCAGCTATGTCTTTTATCAATGTTGAACAAAAATTATTCTATTAAATTTGGTGAGGAACTACCCATGGTCCTTTTTGGTATTCTAGACATTCAGAAGTCTTTATCTTACTTGTCTTAAATTTACCCCTACTCTGATGTGATAATATAGAATATTATTATAAATGTCAATATAAATATGGTACACAACACATGGTAAGATTAACGTGAACAACCTGCCATTTGTAGACATTTAAGTGTATTTTTTCCTGTATGTTAACTGATTCATCCACTGTCTGACTCAAGACTGCTTATTAACAAAGGTAAGCATTTGTCAAATGGTTTTCTGGAATAAAGGTACAGTGTAGTCAAGGAAATAAAGCAAAAACTGGTTCCCATGAGTATCAGCATCAAATCCTTGACCTTAGCTTCAGCATCAGAATGCCTCAACCAGCTAAGTCCAACATTTCCTTCTCCTCATTACCACCAATCAAGCCTAGCCTGACTATACTTGTTTTGCCTCTTCTAAGATAGCTTCAGTGAAAAAGCATTTGTAATCTAGGACTCTTTTGACTTCTGGGTCACCACCCCTCTTTCCTTTCCTTTTACTATCTTATGTTCCTTCCTTCCAGGGTCACCACACTGAAACTGTGTTCAACCGAATTTTGCCAGGGCCTATTGCACCGGAGAGCAGCAAGAAGCGGGCCCGCAGGATGCGACCAGACCTTTCTAAGATGATGGCCCTGATGCAGGGTGGAGGCACTGGGTCCCTATCTCTGCATAACACCTTCCAACACAGCAATAGTGGCCTACAGTCTGTGTCGTCTTTGGGTCACAGTAGTGCCACTTCTGCATCTTTGCCTTTTATGCCGTTTGTGATGGGTGGTGCAGCATCATCCCCTCATGTAGACTCCAGCACCATGCTTCATCACCACCACCACCACCCCCACCCCCACCATCACCACCATCACCATCCAGGCTTGAGAGCCACTGGCTACCCCTCTTCACCAGCGACTACCACTTCTGGTAATGCCTTGCGGCTGCCACCACTGCAACCTGAGGAGGACGACGAGGATGAGGATGAAGATGATGATGATGATTTATCTCAGGGCTATGATAGCTCAGAAAGGGACTTCTCACTCATTGATGATCCTATGATGCCAGCCAACTCAGATTCCAGTGAAGATGCTGATGACTGAAGCCCCAGCATATGGTCCCCCATTGCTTGGGTGGCTGCTGTATTTTCATTTACTCTGGCCCTTGGACTATGGAAACGTGGGAGGGGCGCAGGGGAGATGTGGGGAAACCCAGGACTCAAGGAGGTGAAAAGGAAAAAAAAAAAAAGAAAACTCATACCTGATTGCTCCCAATTTTGAGAGGATTGGGTGGGCAGGGGAACTCCTAAAATATAATACACGACTACTTCCTCATTTCTGGGGAAGAAAAGGAGACTAGAGCAGCTGGTGCGCTCTCCCCTCTCTAGACACCTCCATTAACCACAGACTATGTAGCGCTGGCCCTAGCCTCTGGCAGAGCCTGTTCCTGGCCGAACTGTGGATACAGCTGGAAGTTCAGGAACTGTTACCTTCCTTCCCCTTGGCATTAATAAATTTAAGTTAATCCTTTTCCATTCTTCCCTTGTTCTGTATGTGCTCAAACCCAATGTAAGTATTAATTTTAAGAGCTGATGTTCATGGTGGGTAATTTCAACACCTTTTTCCTAAAGTTCCATACTGTTCATACTGAGTTACCTTGGATTGAGTAGACAAGTCATCTGTACTTCTCTAAAGGTTATATATAAATGTAGACTGTCTTGCTTGCTAAAATCAAGAGAATAATAAGAGTGAGCAAACAGTTCCAGATTCAAACTTCAAGTTCTTTGACAAGGAGAAAGAATTTCGTCACGAACCATGTACACTGTGTTTCAAGTTAACAAAAATACCTGTGCTTTTGGGGAAGCCATAGAATAGTGTCACTTCATCAACAGCAAAGGGACTGAATGACTAGAAGGATGCTGTCACAGCTTGGGCCAGAGGGAGGTGGAGGGTGGGAAGGAACTAAAGGTTTGTGGAGCCCCTCAAGCCATTTGTTTATTCCGACATTCCTCCTACCATCCCACCGCTCAGATGAAGCCTGGACATCTTATTTTCCTTTCTACTTCTAGGTCCTTCCCCATAGCTTGGGTTGTAGCTTATCGCGAGGGTGGGCTCTATTTCACCTAGTTAGAGCTCCGTGCCTGGGCGGAGCACTCGACCCAGTGTCCTGGCACCGAGGATCCTTCCAGCCGTAGAAACCTTTGCTTCCTCACCGTTTCTAGAAGGGGTGCATACCCATTTATTCTGTAGTCTTTCCACTCCTAGCCCACTGCAGATCCCGCTCTTTCCGCTTCCTCTTCCTTTGAAGATGGGGTGGGGCCTTAACACCCGCGCGCGGCAGATCCTGCGGGGCGGGGCAGGCACGTCAGGCCTCCCGCCCTCTTTGCTTCGCTCGTGGTTGCCGCCTCGGCAAAAAGTCGGAGCTCCTGAAAACCGCGGCTGGGCTGGGAGTTAAGGGCGGAGGTGGAGCGTCACGTGATGACGTGGGTTCGCGTGCGGCTGTGGCGAAGTTGACAGGAAAACCCCGCGAAAATCGACTCTTTTTGCATTGCACGTTTTGTTGATTTCCCCACTCTTTTTCTCTCCTCCCCCGACCCATCCGAGAGAGGATTTAAAAAAAAAGTCTCCAACGCTGTCGGGACCCGGAAACGGAAAGGGCATCTTTGAGGTCGATACTTCCGGGTCACTGGGAGAGTGCGGGATTCCGGGGCCGAGAGCGGGTGGCGGAGCCGGGACCTCGCGTGATTCTCGGAGCCCGAGGAGCAGCGGCCTTTGGGGCTATGGCTGTGACTCTGGACAAAGACGCTTATTATCGGCGAGTGAAGAGATTGTACAGCAATTGGCGGGTGAGGAAGATCCCGTAATTTTTCCTAGGGAGCCCCCCTCGGCCATCCCATAATAACCCTGTTTCTCGGCGCCCTTTTTTTTCTTTGGGTCAGGAATTCCCGGGTTCAGTGTCGCGCCCCTTTTGTTGCTCCCGAATCATTCACCGCAGGCGGCCACGAGCGCCGCCCACTAAGAGGGAATCCCCCCCGCGATCGCCAAGCCCTGCGGCCACCACCATCTTCCCCGCGTGCCAGCCCGGGTCACGTATAACAGCCACCTCTCGCAGTCTCTTCCCGCCCTCGGAAGAGGCAGCATCCTTCCCTCCCACTCTGTGGTCGCGTCTTGCTGCCCCCTTCTGCAGTGTTCACACGCACTCGCTCTGCCCCTCCAGTCCCACAGTGTTCTGCCCCAGGTCCCGCCAGAATTATAACCATCTTCGTAAAGGAAGGATGGAAGGGCAAAGGAGGATGTGAATCGGGCTCTTCGCCGTTTACCGTTTGCGGGGCTTTTGCTGGAGTTAAAAAAAGAAATACTGCTCACGCGCAACCGCCTTATGTTCTAGGAGGCCCTGCTATGGGTAGCAGAGACGTAATGCTGAAAATCTGCAGACATTAGTAATACCTAAAAAAAAAAAAACGATGTAACGCCTAAAACCTTATTAGTTTTTCTTCTTAGTAAGAGTATCCAGGGCATTTAAAGAGTTGTGGCACTTCGCAGTCTTTTAAAGATGTCCACAGTTAAAACTTATTTTTATGACACTAATTTGTTAATTGAACAAACATTTGATTGTATTATGTGGTGTAGCCTGAGCTGTCTGGTTTAAACCTGGCCTCTAAACTCTGTCATCAAGGGAAGATATATAGCTAATAAAGACTTACTTTATTAGTTACTCATTTTCTAATGGTCAGTAAGAACTAATGTGCTGGTAATAATCAGAAGTTCTGTCTTCCACTAGTACACCCTGAAATGATACACCTTTAATGTGGAAAGTTGTTCATAGTTCCAATGATTCAGAGTTCATTAAATTATTTCATTCTCTCTATGCCATTCATGAAAACTAAAATTAATGTATAGCTCTAATTTTCCCTACATGATAGGTTAATGCAAAGCATGAAACTGGTCTGTGTAGGAAAAACTGACCTGAAGACAAATTGGCAAGCTTAATATCAAGCTTAATATCTTTGTATCATGAAAGTTAAGTTACTCCCAGCCTCTGATTATTTTTTTCTCAAAAATCATTAAATTTTTTTTTTAGGCAGGGTATCACTCTGTTGCCCAGGACAGAGTGCAGCAGCGTAATCATAGTTCCCAGCAGCCTCACACTCCTGGGCTCAAGCGATCCTCCTGCCTCAGCCTCCCAAGTAGCTAGGACTGCAAGCTAATACTACCATGCCTGGCTAATTTTTCCATTTTTGGTAGAGTGGGGTCTTGCTCTTGCTCAGGCTGATCTTGAACTCCTGACCTCAAGCGATCCTCCCCCCTCAGTCTCCCAGAGTGCTAAGATTATAGTCATAAACCACCATGCCCCAGCCTGTTGGGCCTCTTAATGACACCATTTGGGGGGATGTTAGATGATGGGAAGCCATTGATGTTACAAACTTATGAACCAAGTCTATATAAAAATCTATAAATCTATATAGACTTTTTAATAAAAGTCTATATAAAAAAGAGCAAAATCTGTGATTATTATGAAAATCTTATTGAATAAGTCTCTCTTTTGTTAATATGCCCAGAACCCACCTGTAGAATTTCTTTGTATATGCACAGTCATTCCAGGTTACAGCGCTTTAATTATAATGAACTTAAGCAAGGATCATACTTTTCTTGGATAAATCTGTTTGCTTATCCTAGATGTATCAGAAAAATAGCAGAATATACAGGTGTATTGAATACCTTTTTTTTTCTTTTACACCTTTTTCTTTTTTAATAAGAAAACTGGGATTGGAGTGTACGATGAAGAGAAGTTGATTAGTGGGTACCCATACACAGTTTGAGAGAAGACAGACCTAGTGTTAGATAGTAGGGGACTTTAGTTTACAATAATCTGTTGTATATTTCAAAGTAGAACAGAAGAATTAGAAAGATTCTAGCATAAAGGCAAATATTTAAGGTGGTGGATATCCCAAATACACTGATTTGATCTTTACAAACTATGTGAATGTATTAAGTCACCACATGTACCCTGAAACTGCACATCTATTGTGCATCAATTTTATAAAAACCATCATTAAATGAGCGGAGAAAACTGGGATTGAAATAAGATAATAAGTTGAAGTTAATAGTAAAAATCTCAAGCCTTGTGCTGTCGCTCCCATCAGAGAAATCTGTTATGATTAAAATTAACTAACTGAAAAATTAACTGGTTTGGGCTCCACACTCACTTTTTAATTGTGGATACTCTTGATAATAAACTTTTGAGAGCTGTGTGGTTGTCCCTAGCAGTTCTACCTCTCCAAATAAAAGTACATAGAGTTGTAGAAAACTGAAAAGCTGCTAAACTCTGTCTTTTTAAAAATAAGAATAGGAGCTAACCTTACTGGCCTGCAAGTTGTGTTTGATTTAGGTATAAATTTTTAAGCTATTGCAAATGAAATATTTCTTAATCATAGTTTTCAGAACATACATCGCAAGAATAATTGCCATATCACACACTTTTAACTGAGTAGAAATTTCTAAAATGTTAAGCTTTACATCTGAGTAAATAGTGGCATTTTAGGGATGAGAAAATGGGCTCAATCAAAAATCAACAGGAAACCTCTGTAATGACTAGAATTTATTACTGTTTTATTACTCTAGGGGATTTCAGTCTAATCCAGTCCTGCCTCTTATTTTTTAAGTTAGAGCTAAGAGCAGAAAGGATTTGCATTTGAAAATCCCAGGTGGTAGTAGTAGATCATGGAAGTGGGTTCTGTGGGTTTCTCTGTCCTCTTAAACTTACTGGGTCCTTTCAAGGATTCCCAGCCTTTTTGTGATTGTCATTATTTTTAACCAAGTAATATGATTAGTCCTGTTCACTGGGGGAAACAAACGAGCTTTCCCACCATCTTGGAATTCCAGCTGCTTTGAAGGCTGAGGGGTACAATATTCAAGTATACCTATAAATCATTAGAGATTTACCCTTTAGGACATCCTGGTATGAGTGGACCTTGACTTCATTCTGCTGCCTTTTATCCTGAAGAATTCTGTAAGATGTCTCAACAGCTGGTTTCAAAAGGATTAATGATCCACTGCATTCATTTGAACAGATATATGCCAACTGTCAGGATTAGGGTAGTGGGTGTCTGTGACTCCCCCAAAAACTTTGTACCACTGACGAAAACTAAGCTATATGTCAATGCTTCACTTGATTACTGCTTTCTGACTCTTTGCTGATACTTACGGTGGCTTAGTTTCTTGTTCTGCGTTGTTGTTATCTAACACTAGGCAGCTGTTTTCTTTGACTAAGGAAGTTTTTTTTATTTGTTTCTTTTGTTTAAATATGGTCTACCCTCAGAATCCATGGGGAATTTGTTCCAGACCTTCCTGCAGATAACAAAATCTGAGAATTTTCAAGTCCCTGAAAGTGTCATCGTATTTACATAACTTACATACATTCTCTCTCTTTTTTTTTTTTGAGACAGAGTCTTGCTCTGTTGCCTGGGCTAGAGTGCCATGGTGTTAGCCTAGCTCACAGCAACCTCAAACTCCTGGACTCAAGCGATCCTCCTGCGTCAGCCTCTCGAGTAGCTGGGACTACAGACATGTGCCACCATGCCCGGCTAATTTTTTCTATGTATATTTTTAGTTGTCCAGCTAATTTGTTTCTATTTTTAGAATTCTGGGTTGAAAATCATTTTCAGCTCACAATTTTGAAACCATTGTTTGTCGTTCTTCAAGCTTTCAGTGAAACCATTGTTTGTCATTCTTCAAGCTTTCAGTGTTACTTTTGAGAAGGCTAATATGATTCTGTTTCCAGTGTGTGTGTGTGTGTGTGTGTATATATATATATATATATATCATGTTCTCTCTGGCACTTACAGAATCATCCCTTGTGTTTTGAAATTTCACAGCAGTATGCCTTGGTGTGCCTCGTTTTTTTTCTTTTTTCCCTTCTTTGCATTGAACTGGGAACTGGGGGATACTTAATCTCAAACTCATATTCTTCAGGGCTAGGATGTTACATTCTTTGATCATTTTCTTCCCTCCATTTCCTCATTGATCTCTTTTGTTTCTGAAATTCCTATTCAGTATGGTTTCAACTTCTTGAGATAAATCTGTTGTTTATCTTTTAATTTTGTTTCTCATCTCTTTGTCTTCTACTTCCAGTGACTGTTTCTTAACTTTATTTCCTCATCTTTTATTGAATTTTATTTTATTTCAGCTATTATTTTTTATTTCTTAGAGTTTTTATCCTCTTTTCTTGTATCATAGGTATAGTATATTTATTTCTCTTATGGGAGGTGTTTTTATTTAAACTTTTTTTTTTCCATCCTCTGTATTGACTCTTTGGGTTTGTTTGCTTTTCTCTCTTACATACTGGAGACTTCTCAAAAATCAAAATGAGGACTGATTGGAATCTCTGCATGAGTGGGACCTCTCCACTGGTAGACATTACTGCATAGTGAATGGGCTTGTTTATTCCATGAGAGACCCCCAGATGTCAGTATCTAAAAGTGTTGTTTGAATTCAATCAGGATGTTCAAAGAAAATCCTCTAAGTCTTTGGGGTATTCATTTCCAGT